TTTTGTTGAGCAGCTTGTGGTTCTGAAAGTTGGTCGGGAAGCGCTTGGACAACAGGCTCAAGGGGTTCATCAGGAGGTGGTCTGGCTTCGCGAGCATCATACCAAAGACCATCTCGCAATAGCTTGCCTGAATCCTTGAGCATCTTGATGTCGGTAGGGCTTGGCGTCCAAGCTTCAATCCCGATGGCTGGACGAAGCTGCTCATGTGTCACCTGCACAAGTGACCCGCCGCTCTGTACCCAGGCGTTCTTATCGTCTTTCACAACCAGACGGCCAAGTATATAGCCGCCTCGCTTCCTTCCACGGGCTTTCAGATTCCATCTCCAGTAGGCCACCATGGAGCCAGGCAAGAGCTCGTTGACCCTAGCCCGTGAAGTAGCCGTTTTCCGAAGCAAAGCCCTCCGAATCACCGCAGAAGCTGACATCTCCGACACTGCCTGACACGCTTGAGAACGAAGTTGTTCTGTGAGGAGGTGGTAGTCGGAGGTTGCGAGCGCGGCCGAGTCGGAAAGAAGATCACCTGGGAGTCTGGGCAGTTTGCCGAAAACTGCTTGCATGCTGCTGCGGCCTCGCGTGTGTATGCTGGAGTTCACTGCCCATACGGCTGCACTGATGCACAAGTCGAGCTGATCTCTGTTGGTGACCCCGTTCTGATCTATGAGCCGCTCTAAAACTGACCTGAAAATGGCATTTCGTCTCTCGATGGCGCCGATTTGATGATGCCCATCTGCTGGTACTGTGTTCAGCAGCACACCGCTTTCTTGTAGGTGTTGTTGAAAAGCTCCCTCAAAGGCACCGTCGGCATCTACAGTCATGAAGAGAGGGTAGCCATATGGTCGTAACCAGAGCCTGTCAAACTCATTCAAGACCAATTGTGGTTCCCTGGAGGTCAGGATTGCAGCCTGGTACAGTTTCGTAGCTAAGCATGTCACGCCAAGCAGAGCATGATTGGTTGAAGACAGGTCCCGAACATAAAAGAGATCGGCCTGAAGTTGTTCAGCAAACTGGCCCACAAACTCAGGAACTGAAGCAGGTCGTGGTTTCAAGGGACCACGCGCTCGCTCACACGTGCCGCACTTCAAGTGCTCTAGAGCTGTCAACACCGCGGCATTAATGGTGCCGTGCGCCGCTAACAGTCTCACCAGCTCTTGTCTCGGAGGATGTCCAGCATTGCAGTGCAGCCTTGCCACAGCTGACCGTACCTCTTTGGGAATGGTCTCAGGCAGGCCAGGGAAACTCACATCAGTCCGCAGGCCTGGCACGTGGACATCGGGATTGTCACTTGTTACCGGCTGCTGGGACTTATCATCCTCTGCCATGCCATAAAAGAACACTGCAATGCGAACTGGGGTTTCAAAGCGTAAGCGTGGCTGCCGAACTTCATTGAGATCCTCAGACTCTACAAGCAGCTGGCCGTTGTTTAAGATCATGGCAGCACCTCTGTGAGAAAACGGTACATCGGCAGGCATCCTTCTGGTGACTGGTTGCGCATACACTTGTGCCCTAGTCAGCTCCCAAGGAACTAACTGCTTCAGTTGACGCATCTCCTTGGAATCTTCACTCAAATAGAAGTATCTGCTCCTGCCCAAGCGCTTTTCAAGACTCTCAAGGAAACTCATCCATTCTTCAGGCGCATCAACTGGAGGAGCGTACCACACATCATGAGGGGATTCATCGAACTTCCACGGACACATCATGCGAACTTCATTGTGAATGCACTGCAGCAGAAAATCAGCCATGTTGCACTCACGCTCACCCTGAACTTGCAGAAGGCACCGACAGTTTGTCACAAAGGAACTGTTGCCGGCCTCGTTGCGCACGTGCTTCTGCTTGAAGGGGCTCGCCTTGCCGGTTTCAGGGAGCTCAAGGATTTGCAGCAGGACACCCGTCACATCATCATGAAGGTCGGGGTTGAAGTCGACTATGAACCTACCGCTCTGGATCACTTGTAGCTCGCAACACTTTTGTATGGCAATCTTGACTTGTGCAGGCTGTCTTGCTGCACTGTGCACATAGAGCACGCGTGGTCTGACCTGGGAGAGGATCTGCAACAGAAGCTCGGGAGACTTATCCAGCTCAAGGCCCTGAAGGTTCACTAAGGAGAGCGCATAGGTTTCTGCCTTTGAAGCCAGACTGTGTTTGAAACGCCCTGCTGCAGCATTGTTCTCCCAAAACACTTCAAGAAGATCGGCTCTATGATTCAGGTGGAGGTCGCCAGGCCATTGGTTATAGACTTCCACCTCTTTGCCCAAAAGCTGAAGCGTCTTGTCAAAATTGTGCACCGCCCTCTTCCATTGGCCCTTCCTGAGCGGTGCTGGGCCACTCCCTCGGATCAGGGATCCATCACCAGGTCCCAATCGTAGCCCGCCTGGTCGCTGTCGCTGTCCTCGATCACCACGGTCTCCGTGGCCGGCGTCCCATGGTACCCGAAGGCTGAAGTCGCCGAAGTTGGCTGAGGTCGCATCTTGGCGGAAGCCCCCAGCGCCGTCGAAGAGGAAGCCGTTCCTGGCGTCCACGAGTGATCCAGGACCGTCTCCGCCGAAGGCAAGGGCAGCACATGCGACTTGGATGATGGATGATAAAGCCATCCAGGGGTGACACCATCGGCGCCGACGCCCCATTTCCACCTGCATAGGCAATCCTCGCATGTCGTGAAGCGGCCCTGGGCATTGCCGTGGCGCTTCATACGAGTATGTGGGCAGGTGGTCGGCGGATTCACTGGCACCGGCTTGGGCTTGTTCTTGCTTGATGGCTCCTTTCCCACTCCAGCGGCGAGGCTTCCCTGAACTTGCTTCCCCAGGCCGATCCTCGTTGCTCGGAGGGTGGTTGACATCACCAGCACCGTCATCTGCCTGATGCCTCTCATGACGCGCCGCCAGTTCACGAGCCATCTCGGAGGAGCGGCGAGCATCTTGAACGGCAATCAGAGTGCTCTCTTGGGCTTGTGGTGCTGCGGTTTCACATGGGCTGTTCACTGTGCACTTCCTAGAGTCACACAAGAACTCGTAATCATGCACATCCATCTGCTCCCAATCGAACGCAACATCGGCAGGATACTCAGAGTTCTTCAAACACAAATGGCCTTGTACCAGGAAGAGGTCCACGGTGCAGTCGAGCAGCCCGATGTAAGCCTTTTGTTTGGCCAAGTCGAGAATGACATTGAGCTTCTTAAGCAGACGCAGGCTGGCTAAGAAAGGTATGTCGAGACCGTCCAAGACCGATGTTCCCAGAGCAATCAAAGGATGATTTGCTTCAAAAGCAACTGGAAAATACATGCAGGTAGTTGATATCTGTGGGGCCCCCGCACCGAACTTGAAGGCCTCGCGGCGGTTGGAGAACAAGGCCTCCAAGCCGAAGCTTTGTAGAAGTGCTTGCTGGCTATCGCACCACGCTCGGCTGCAGCATGTGCGTTGGCATGCCGTGTCGACCACACAGTATCCCTGCATCTCGCTAGCAATGGTCATGCAATCAAACTCTGCACTCTGGAAAACGACAAGGGAGCGGTGCACCTCGAGGTCGCAATCGTCTTGGCCTTGCGGGAGGTGTTGCTGATGGTCGAATGCATACAGAACTTCATGACCCCCGGCATGCCGAACGGAGAAAACCTTTTGTGCACTGGTGCCGCCCCTCTTGTCATTCACACTTGTGGTGTTGCCCTTGCCGCCTTTGCCAGCATCTCCCTTGGTCTTGCCCTTGGCACTTATCGGGCACTCAGGGTCGCCCGTCCAATGGCCGATTTGGCCACAAGCCGAGCAAGCTGAAGTGCGCTTGCGTTCTTCCACGCTTTTGCGTGGAGCACCTCTGTACTTTCGCCCCTGAGTCATGCTTTGTAGCTTCTTGGAGGTAACCGTCAGAACTTGCATAAGCTCTTGGATGGTGCTCTCGGTATCGTCGCCCATGTCCGGTATGAGCTCCTCGCCTTCGTCCTCGGCACCGTCTTGGTTGTCGTTCGCGTCCTCCTCGCCGTCGTCGTCCTCGGGGATCACTTCGAGGTGATCGTCCTCTAGGTTTGCCTGGTCGTCTTCTCGCCTCATTGATCCGGTCGAAGGAGAAGAAAAAGATGAGCCGGAGGGAGCCGAAGTCGAGGATGAGGCTCCTTTGTTGCCCTTGCCTTTGCCTTTTGGCGGCCTTTGGTTCAGATCTTTGCCGCCAGGGTGTCCTTGCACAAATGGTGGTGGCTTGTGGTCCGGGTACTGGAGCACCAGGGCGTTCTTCACCTCGTCGAAGTGGAGGGATTGGTTGGTGCCCACCAAAACCATCCTCTGCTGCTCCAGCGTCAACTTGGCGCGATCCAACAGCCGACTGCCTCTGCTCTCCGAGTCGTAGGTCAAGGTCACGTTGATGCCTATGCTGAGCAGGGCCTTTTCGGCACGATGGTACCTGTTGACATACGATCGCATGCCCTCACCATTGAACCTGCTAACTGTCTCAAAGTCTGCCAGGAACTTTCTCTTAAGGTACACCTGCTTGGCCTGCAAGGGTCCGCGAAGCTGCTCCATCAAGAAACTATGCCATCCTTAGCGTAGAGCTTGGCGAGGTCAATGTGCTCGAGCTCCTCTTCTGCCTCGCCACTCAAGCTGCAATACAGCGTGAGAGCGGCCTCGGCCTCAGACATATACGGCTTGACCTGCAATTGCCAAATGCCCACCTTGCGCTCAAACTTCGAGAATGCTCTCAAATCATCTTTGCTGTATTGCCACTTTGGGGGAGCAGGTGGTGTTCCCCCTCGCCATCGGACCCCACGCTCGGGTCCTTTGAGAGAAGACCACGATGCCTCCTCGCCGTCCGACTTGGTGCCCCTGAGGATTTTGCGCAGCTGCTTGACCGAATCCAAGCTGATGCCTTCGCCCTCGGTCATCGCTTTGTCGCTCTGCTCGGCTGCTTGCTTCTTGGCTCGGCGTTGCCTTCTGCTAAGTTTACCAGGCCTGTCACCTGCCTCGCTGGGTGTGATGCACGGGTCCAGAGTAGGAGTCTCGCTCTCGGCTGTCTCGCGCATCTCGTGCCAAAAGTCGTCTCCTGGTGGTCCTGGCGGTCCGGTTCTGGTACGGGGCAAAGGTCTTGAAGCCGGCCTGGTCCTGGTAGCAGCCGAAGAAGAAGCCGAAGGCGACGAGCGGGGTGAAGTGGATGCCGAAGAACTCCTGTCGTTAGGTTGGTAGGTCCATGTGCCGTGTTCTGTCTCCTCCCTAACGGGCTGAGACGTATCGTAAATCTGGTCTGATCCGCACAGCGCGCAGAACCAATTGTCCCTCATTCTGTCCCAGCGGCATTCCGTACTATGGCACGCCCTGCACATCCAGATGGGTCCTTGGTCGAACCATTGTCCCAGGTCTTGTGCTCCGACTCCGCGGTCCTCATGTTGAGCTGCTCTGGGAAATCCGGGAAAACTAGGAAACTGGAAGGCTGCAGGAAAAGGACGGGAAGGCATCCAGCCGCCATGGCCAGGTTCACGAGGATCAACTCTGGGATTACCGCCGCCACCGTAGATGAAGAAGGCAGGTCTGGCTTCTTCGGGCTGGGTTCCATCTGCTCGAGGATCCTCGGAAGCATTGCCGGGCATCTCTAAGAAGTCAAAGAGGTCGTCCGGCCCGTCGTGAAGCGGAGGCGTCAGCCGAGGGGCATCCATACCTCCCGGCACTGCGCAGCTGCCCTGGATCGTCAGCTCCGCTGCCAACTTGAGGCAACTAAAGCTGGAGCTTCAGCCACTCATGCGCAAGCACTCTCACGACGCTCTTTTCTACCGGAAGGCACTCACGGCTAAAGAAGGTTTGAGACTCAAGGGATCCGCTGCGAGAAAGAGCTTTCAGAGCAATTGGTTCACCGAACAGAAGGCACGCTAAAGCTGATCTTTCACAGTTACAACCACTACCAACGCTAGTACTATTTCTTCTGCTTCTACTTCTACAGCTACGTGCACTCCTACGGCACCAATACGACAGGGACTGCTGCTCCTACCGCTTGCACTACTACGACGCCGACAACCACTCCCACCGACTGCCACGACCACCATGCCAACTTTCACCACTCACCACCACCACCACCAAAACCACCACCGCCGCCGCCACCACGATCACCACCACCGCGACAACAACTACCACAGATCATCCCACACCAGATCCTACTACAAGCACCAGTCCTCGTCTCGCACACATTGCCATGGTATGCATACCGCGACACCTTTGGCCAATGCCTCAACTGCTATGGGCCACGACTCACATCAAAGGATTCAAGTTCATGTGTGAGGCTGCACAGATCGAACTCGTGAGAGGACCATGAGCAATGTGTGCTTCTTCCGAGGTGAGTGGCAGGAGGCCCCTCTTCACTGCAGCCCTCCCTCTGCAAAGAAGTCCGAGGCAAGCTCTTCCCACTGCTCCTCGTCGATGTTTCGTTCCAAGTGATCCAGGAACCTCTGACAGATTCCGCGGAAAGCGTGCCCCGAGCCCTCCAGACTCCAGAGCCCAAGATGTCCCAAGTGCCGTACTTGGTTAAAACGTGGATCTCCCTCTCCATTAGGTACCTGCACAGCAGATCACAAACAGCCTTGAACCGGCCATGTGAGTGGATCAGGCGGCATGGCAAGCTTCAGCAAGTGATTCAACTTTCTTGGTCTGAGGAGGCCTGCTTCTCCAGTCTCGGATCCACTCCACACGCTGCTGTTGCGAAACTATGCTGCACATCAGTGCATGCTCAAACGCACTGCAACCCCTCAACATATGGACTGCTGCAGGCCCCGGTTTGAAAGCTGAGGGAACATCATGGCTGTCGACTGAGGTGCCACAGCAAACCAGATCCAGCATGGCTTCTTACACGGATGCCTCTCGCGGTTGGCCGTGTACTCCGGGATGTTGAGCTGCACGATGGCAACCTCTCTGCGGACACCCTCTGTTTCCCCGCGAAGTTTGTTCACAGAAGCGCTGGCCTGGTGCTGACGTGAGAAGCAGGCTGAGTACGTCTCAGGCTGCCCGGCTGGAACGGTTGCCTGCCAGAATCGCAGGCGCTATGGACAAATCCTGCAGAGGCCTTCCGCATGCAATTGGTCTCGAAGAGTGAATGCCGAGCGCCAGAGCGAGAAGAGGGCGAAATGAGTGTGGCAACAGAATCATGAAGAGCACAACTGGTGCGTGTGACACTTGTGCGGCAAGAGGAATGCAGAAAATGCCTTGAATGAGGGGCTGCCAACAATGCATGCACAGTGTAGCAGGCGAAAGGATGCCTGCTCGAAGTCGCTCCGTCGCCAAAGCCTGGCAGTGTGCCAGAGCTACGTGTAGCATGTCAATACCCAATAACCATGAAACTTGCCGAGCTCACGAAAGCTCCGAATCTGGCGCTATGTCGAGATGCAGCTGTGGCCAATGAGTGTCAAAGCAGCTTGCACCTCTCCGTGAATGTCAGACTGGCTGTTGGATTTGCCAGACAGCAGCATATGTGCCTTCGCCCCACTGTTCCTCGGCTCACGAAGGCGCTCCGGTTCTGTTCCATCTTCACGGGTCCCAAGGCTCATGCGAATCTGAATGAAATGGTGAGCGAACGGACAGATTGAGAAGCTCATCGCCTGCTTCTTGCTTCTTCCCGTTTCAAACTCGTGAGTTTGCTGGCCCACCCGACCGACTTCGCATTGACATCTTGCCGTTCCGTTTTCAGCTACAGGCAGAATAGGATTGTGGTGTCCCCGAGCAAGCAGTCATCGATCTCGGGGTTTCTTTGTATGGCAATCTGCCTTGCCAGAGGACTGGACCCCATCTTTCGGTGTCAGATCCAGCGACGCAATACCGAACCAATCTCGACAGGAACAGGGGGACACGCAGTAAAGCAGCGCTTGAGTGAGCTTCGAATCGAGAAGCTGGCAGGAGCTCAACTATGCTGTTCCATATTTGACCTCCTGCTATTGCTGAGCTTCACACCTGCGGAGGTGCTGGTGCCTGACAATCGGACAAGCATGCTTCAAGTTGCTGCATCTCTCTGCATATCTCTGCATCCGCAAGCAAACCAGCAATGCCACATTCGAAGAGTATCAGTCGAATATTTTTTCATGCAGATATCCTCGCCACAGGCCAGTGATGCTTATCAACCACGCAGAGCCATATGTAGTATGACTTGCAGACTGATGGCGGTCACGAAACACATTTTCGGCAGAAGTTGCTGTGGGACCAGTGGTAAGAGTAAGCTTCACGGCTTCACATTTGACATGCCGACGAACCGGTTGTCTCGTCTCTGACTCAGCAGCGTGCTGAACAACTGCCGCAGCAGCAATGCTGTGCATGACGGCCGCTGCAGCACATTGCCGAAATGAAGGAGGCAGCAATGATCTCCTTGTCCACGATTCTCGGGCAGCTTCTGCTTCATGCTCACCACGTCCTCAACGTTCATCTCCGGAAAGCTTGAAATATCGCAAGATCTTTTCGCCGGACGCTTTCGGAGAGGTCTGCAGGGCCAGGAGCAGGGCCTTGTGTGCAGATGCTGCGAGACGGTGCCACAAAACAAGCTGTCGAGGGCAGATGCTCTGAGAAGACTCCAAGACGACCACAAAGGAGGAACCATGGTGACGGATGGGATCCCCTTCGTAGATGACGAAGTCGAATCCATGACGAACAGCACTAACAACGAAGTATCCACGGGAGCTCAAGTCCGCAAAGACTTCTGACCGCAAAGACGCGGTGTCGGCCCCCGAACGCTGCAACTGCTCGGGGACATAGGCGAAAGGTGCTCCCAGCTGCGAGTTTTGTTGTGGATTGGAAGGCAAGGTCCCCATGGGCAGGCCAAAGATTGGCTGCCGATTTCTTCGCAGCTCCATGTGTCGCTGCACATCGAAATCCAGGACGCAGACCTCTCCACATCGCAGCAGCTCCGGAGTCCCTGCTGTTGCGCCTGCTCCCAGGCGCTCGGCCGATCTCGAGCGCTCCCGTTCAGACATGCTGCTGAGCTACGACAGCCAGAAGGCTTCTGGAGCCAGGCTGCAGTGTCAGGGCTTTAGCTGTTCACACCTCGGGTTCATGGTGGTAGAACTCTGGGTCGGGTCTGGGTCTGACTTCCGAGGGCCCCTGCCCAGCCTTTATGGCCACGCGATGCACCAGGATGAAGGAGGCAAGGCCGAGCTTCCTCTTGCGGCACTTCAATGTACTCTGAACATGTCTTACGGATGGAAAGTATGCGCCACGATTTGAAGGCGAGGCAGAAAGATCGCGGGGGAACAAACAACGACGACAACGCCGAATCAAAAACTGCAGCAACGCCAAAGAAGTGATCTAGTCCCCGGATCCGAGGGGGTGTTCCCCAACAGCCCCCTGTCTCCATGTCACCGGAGCAATAGCAGCTCGAAAACCAAACTCGCTGGGCTGCAGGATGCAGGCCAGCGCACGCTGTGCATCAGCTCCGCGCCTCCCCTTCTGAAGCTACGTAAACGGAGCCTCCTCTCCTCTCGATTCGTTCTTTCTGATTCTGATTCTGGCGGTCAAAGAGGGTAGCTCCCGCACGTCTTCAGGATCCTTGCTATGCCCGTGTGACACTGATAAACAAGGAGCCCGCGCTTCGCTTCTATGCCCCTAAGCTGCTTGTTCTGGACTCCTGGGTGCCTACTTGTTTGCTGCTTCTCAAAACATGACTTCGTGGTGCGATCAGGAATCACATGATGGTTCGCACGGCCTCATCAACTGCAGGCGACACATCAGGGTCACAGTGGCTCATGGCGTTGGAAAGCAGCCACTTGTGGCTGAAGCTAGTTGAAGCAAGGGTGAGTCATTGTGACGCAATCGTGGTTTTCGTTGTGGCAAGAAGAAGCACCTAGAATCATATTGAACCTCAAACAAATGACCGTGCACCATCGAACTGCAGCGCTTTTGCGTGTTGCTCTGCTGCAGGAACGACCTGAATCTTGTCCATGGCATGCTCGCTCTGATTTTTTCTTCTCGTCGCACGAGAATGAAATAACGTCGAGTAAAGCGGCCGTGGCTCCACAGACGGTCAAAGTATGACGATGCCTCCGAGGCTGAAACCAATCATGGTTCTGACCCTGACCACAGGCTCTACATGTGCCGACAGCTTGCCGAATCTCGCCTCTGGATCTGGCACGCCAGCCTCAATTCCCGGCCGCCCTCGCCAGACCTTGAAGCAACACCGACGTGAGGCTGTGCTTTCACAGTTTGAGCGGCAGTCAGCGGCACTGAGCCAGGTGCCGCTATTCCATTCGGACTCGAGTTACTGGCACCTTGGAGGTCTGCTTGGATCCCAACAGGGCGAGGTGCTGGTGCGGCTCGGCACTAAGCCGGAGACCATCCCTGACAATACCAGGGCCGGGGTCACTCACCTGAAACGGTGTTAAGGACGATTGCTGCTCTCGTTCGCAAACTTTGGCTTCACAGCACGTCCTGTAGAATTCCGAAACCGACAGCACTCGCCCCCGGATTCGCCAAGGCCGCAGCATTCGCGAAGCCGCCAACTGCACCCAGGGACGCTGCAAGCTGCCGCAAGTAAGTCACCTCCCGCTTTGATGAAGCATCTGCAATAAGGCCGGGAACGGCAGCCAGGACCCCCGCGTTGTCTGAATGAATCAGCAGTGTACCGTCAGAAGACAGCACTCGACGCACTGAGCGAAAAGTCTCAGCCTCGGAGCAGCAGCCAGCGCTCTGGCAACACCAATTTCTACCCGAACCCAGCAGACCACTTTCCTTCCCTGGTCCCTCCTTAACGCAGCTCCCAGAATGCAGAGAGAGAGAGAGAGGGAGAGACCGAGAGGGAGGGAGCGATTTTTGGGCAGATCTCGGGAGGCGGCAGTGAGAAGATGGGGGGCGGCAGCGTCCCCAAGACCCGCTGCACCGGATCCTGGCGACATTCGAAGGCAGCGGGCTTCAAATAGAGTCTTTAAAGAAACACTGGTAACAGAAAAGAGTAGCCATACGTAGCCTTCTATGTCACCATCACCCAAGCCGCGGCGAACTGGTGGTTCCGGGAAGTTGACCTGCACTGGCAATTTATGGTGCCGTAGAATTTAGGGCTTCGTGAGGGCTGAGCCCTGCCGAATGCCGAACTACTGCCAAGCTAGGGTTGCGGGATGAACCTGCTATCGTGAGGACTCTTCCCAAATAGGGTGCGCCACCGATTCAAAATAGGTGGCGCCTAGACCCCCCCTCCCCGAACCACCCATTATCAAGGGGGTGGGTGCTTTGTCCATACAAGTGGAATTTACGACTGTGCCCAAGAAACATCTCCTCCTGCAGTCTCCATAAACTCATTCAGTCTGAGACTGTTCTTCCTGCAGTCGTCCATAAGAATGTCCCTGTAGGAAAATTTGCGAGTGTGTTTCTCCAACATTCTTTTTGGAGGCTCGGGTTTCGCCACAGTCTCTTTGAACCTCCGACCCTTGGCACCACCTCCGTCAAGATGACAAATAGATATGTCAAGGCTGCGTTTTGTCAGGTCTTCCTTCACAGTGTCCGTCTTATCAGCATGCGAGGTTGGGCACGTTCCGATGCTGCCAAGACATATACCGTTCAAGATGACGAGTTACTCGAGACATGTCGCGTAACTCCTTCGGACTCCTTCGTGTACAGAATAACCGGTCTGATGCCAAAAACTGCCCAAGTTGTCTATTTAGCAACATGCTCGGGACTTCTTGACTTCTTGGTGAAAGCTGCTGTTATCTTCACCTTTTCGAAGTCGTGTATCTTGTAGCACCGAAAGTTGAGTAGGCACGTGTCATGATTGCTCCTCTCCCTTGTCTGCACTATCCTTTCGTTTGAGGGTGTGCCTTGCTTGTTCAAGCATTTCACCTGTCTGTACCTCGTGATGGCCTTGCCGCAGATTTTCGTGTTTCTGGATGTCAAGCCTTTTATGCCAACTTCTGTCGTGGCTATAAACGACTATATGGTGCCTTCTTCCGGTACTGTGGGGGTGCTTCAGCACACAGGATTGCCCGATGTTCAGTCAAATGTTCAATCTTTTGGGTGGAAATCAGGGATAAAACAAAGGAGGATTTCGGAGGGTTGGGAATTTACAGCAGCCTAAATCTAATCTACGATGCCCTGCAAGCAAGGCGCATACACGTAAGCCACGGAGCCAGGTGCAAGCCTCAAGGGAAGAGGCTGCAGCTTTTGCAGATTGCCACGTCTTGGAGAGCAATTCAGGCAGTGACATGCGCAGAAAGACAGCCGCATCGGCAGCAACCACACAGAGATTCTTGCACACCTGCGCATGCTCGTTGAGCATCACTTTCCACCACACCGCGCAATCACACGCCGAGCTTGAGCTTTGCGCTCCAGTGAGAAGTGCGCGGGAGAACGTGCGGAAGACGCGGTCTCGCCTGGCATTGTCAGCTCGACCATCTTCAAGGTCGACTCACGTCACTCTCAGTCCGTCCGGGACAGGGGCGGGGCCTATTTTCCACACAGGCCCAGCTTGCTTTGCCAGCGTCAGCCGCTGCTTGAGCACACACCCATTCGCCCTGTCGACGGAGGCAGTGCAACGCTGACAGCCTTCGGCATTGCATGTATAAGCCACCTCTCCAGAACAAAGCTCCACCTGCAAGGGAAGGCATTCAAGCCTACGGCCCTGTCATGGCCCTGTTAAGGCACTGTTGCTAAGGGCTTCCTGGCTTCGCCTTCAGAGGCTTCGGGACGTCGTCAAAGGCTGCATCCAGCTTCAGTTGACGGCCTGCTCGGACGAGTCCGGACACGCTTTACGCCATCAGCTGCGTGCGTGAACTCTGTCCTCCCCCAGCTATGGTGTTCAATCGCTGCAATAGTTTCGCCTCGGCCTTGCAAGATCATGCCACATCACGCGTGAAGCCGACATGCACGGCTTGCAAATAAGGCAAAGGCTTTCGGCTGGTCGCCATGCCTCAGAGTCAGCGCCAGTACGGCCACCCCAATCGCGCGAAAACGGTCCCGAAGCCCTTAGCTGGCGGCAGGCCAAAGGAGCGTTGGAGCTCCATTAGCAGCGTCTGGCCACCTTTCCAATGGGATGTGAGTGTCTCTCTGACCATGTATCTGTGTGTGCCTGTGCCCTGGTTGCAGAGTGCAGAGTGGACTCTTAGCTCGGGGCTGACAGCGCAGGCCTCGTCCTAGGCTCAGAATGCCCCACGGAGGCCCACGCCCAAGGCCCGACGTGCTCCGTGCAGTTCCGATTTCTGTTCGTGAGGGAGCGCCGAGTTTGACCAGGCTGTGGCGTGCCTTCGGCTGCCAGGTTCTGCGAAACGTTGCAGCGAGCTTAGCTGCCATCCGAACCAGGCACCAAGCCTGCTCATTTAAAAGCGTCGAAAAAGCTACACCACGCATCCTCGCGTGCACCACCCTTGCAATCTTGGAATTCGCCTGAGGGCTGTTGTTGGAGTGCGGTAAGAAGTCGGACACATGGAGTGAAACATATGCTCTGCTATCTTGTGAGAACACGGGAGCTATTCTGTGAGACTTTCACCGGGCTGGTGACACCCTTCGGCGCACACGGCCACCACCAGGCTTTCTCTTCGAGGCTCAAGGATGCTTGCAGGTCCATGGAAGATTTTGCCCAGTTAAACTTAATGTGGCCATCGGAGACGGATTTTGCGAGCCTCTGCTGGTTGGGCTTGCGCAGAAAAGCGGAGCGGTGATTTTGGCGAATCGGCTGGCCATTCCCATTAGCCTGCAACAGGTCCCCAGCCAGCCGCAAGACAGACTTCGCCGCGGCATTGTTCCTCTCGAGCTCAATGCCTCGCTGAATCAGACGTGCTGGGGCGGTTGAAGCCTTGTCATCCATTGGCGCCACAGTCTCTGAAGGTGTCACTGGCGCTGCCGGCGCTGACCCCGGATTGCTCGGGCTCTCTGGTTGCAAGGCCTTGCTCGGCGCTTGCTCCTTGCTGGCTTGCGCATCCGATAGGGAGCTCTGCACCGTGTCCGTCGTCGCAGACCGCCCTAAGGAAAGGTCTTTGGACTTCGGTGAAAGCACCGACATGTGTTCTGCGATCTTCATCTTGGAGAGCTTCAAAGCCTGGTAGATTTCTCTACTTCCTCCACGACTGGCCAGCGCACCAATGCGTTCCAAGTACGCCAGATCTCGCAGTCTGTTCAAGGCCTGCTCCCTCCTGTGGCAAGGACACAACTTGCTTTTGCAGAAACCTGACACAAGTTCCCAAATCGCGGACTGCGCGACACATGCATGCGGTGCTTTGTGGTTTGACTTCTGTCAGATCCGTTGCACTGCAAATGCTCAAAGTCGGTGTAGTAGTATCAGCTGGCAGAACATAGGGCAACATGCTAGCAGTACTGCGTGCTGGGGACGAATGGCCTTGCTAGGCTGACGGTTCGATCTTTGGATGGCCCGATACTGTTCTGCAAAACGTTTGACTCCGAATCCTGCTACAAGTAGGAACCCCTCGTTGTAGTAAGACGACCGTGCACTCGAGCCACTGGCGCACTACCCATGTCTTCTCTAGAATCTTGAACCCTCTTCGTAGCCAGGCAACATGTACTGTCTTGGCAAGAAGACCAATGAAGGGTGCTCCCACATGGACAGCTGCTTTTCCGCGTTGTGATAGTAGACTTGGCCGCCATCGTCTTCTGCTTGCTGCCATTCGAAGAGTAGCTTCGTGATTTCAGCTTCCCAAGACTCCTGCTCGGCCAGAACACGCATTGCAAGACTCTACTCAGTGCTAAAGTGATATGGCGAGCTGCCTGAAGCACTAAGTCGAAACAGACTCTCCCGCCCAACTCAGATGGTCCTGCAATGTATTCAGGGTTTGGTCTCTCAAATTCGGCGGCATCTGAATGCAGGTTTGGAAAGCCGCCATGCATTCGCGAAGAATTGCATCGAGAGGGTGCACCTCACAAGGTGGCAGACTCTAAGGCTCGTTACATTTTCCAGCTGTACTCGAACCCGAAGAAAACAAGTCTGCAAGCCGAACCCAGGCAGTCTCGTTGGAGGTCTGATTCCAGAAGAAGAGGCCGCTATGCTCGTCCCGGCATAGGGACCACGGAGCTGGCAGGACGCTGCTGCCCAAGACGTCACAGAGAAAGGTTGACAGGAAAGGGTCCTGCACGGGGCTGGGGCTGCAACAAGCAACATTTTCGGGTCCAGAGAACTTCATCATATGGGGCTCATGCAGCCGGACGCATGTTTGCGCCTGGTTCACCGCTTTGCTTCCTGTCCGAACTCGCGGGATTTTTTTGGTGATTGAACAGCACCTTCGGATCTTCGACGCCAAATTGCGAACTCTAAAATATTCCTGAAAGGAGCGCTATGAACCTCCTGTGTATCGTACATTCTTCAAGCAACTTCTGCAACAAGTCTCCCAAACCTGCACAGCCCTGTAATTTTGAGATGGCACCTACGCCACGGACAAACTGCCAGGACGATCCTCGTGATGCCAGAAGTCGTTCGAAATCGGATTCCCGCAACATCCAACAAGACTAATCACTCCTCAATCAGACACACACCGTCGCGAAAGAATTGCAACACCCTGTGGCGATTTCTCCTGCAGAAACCCGACCTGTTAAACGATGAGTTTTGTCTGGGTTTGGAAGCGCAACGTCATGGCGCTGCCATATGTTCCGGTGCAGAATCGCAGTCCTGGGCCTCAGTCACGACGCCGTTCGTAAGCAGGTACTGGGACCTTTCTTCCAAGGTCCAGGTAGCCAGATTCTCATCAACCGGGAGCTGGTCTTTGGCAAAGTGTGACCACACTCCGTGGTATTCCGCCATGCAGAAGCTCTAGTCAGACATAAATTACATAACCCTAATGACCTGGTTCCGACGTACGAGTATCAAGCTATGGCATGCTGAAGGGGAAGATACTCTCGCCTCGATGGATCATGGATCGATGGAGACAAGGGCCGCCATGGAGACTCTACTCCAGAAGCAGATGAGAGCTAGGGCAGATAGGGGCTTCGGCTTGGGGTGATAAGCATCAAGTCGGCATAGTAGCGCACACTTCGAGCCGAGGTGGGCAGAGGGTGCGAGCAGGAGCTGTCAAGTCAAAGACACAGCGGGCGCTGATGCAATGGCCGGGCCAGCTGTCGTGGTTTCAAGAAGCTGAGCCCAGGTCAGCAATGTCCTGGGGAAGCGCGAGGAGTCTGGTCATGTGCTTCCTGCTCTGATGTCATGCTGAGTCATGCTGGGAACGAACGCATCTCGCAAATTCTCGCAGCAGGTCTACGACAGCCATCATGTGGTCAAGCTCCAGTAGGTCCCCGACGCTGGGGCTTCCAACACGTTCTGGCCTGATGACATGCGACTTGCAGCACGAGTCTGCAACTGCTGCAAACTCCCTGCTTGCTTTTCGCATCACTCAGGCAGCCGCTCTTGAGGTGGTCCTCTATGAGAGCAGCTCTCCGCGCGAGCTCACGCCTTACCGATTCACCAATTAACCGGATGCCCCTGCCTTCGAGCTATGCTCGCTGTCAAGGACAACAGCACAGAGCACATCGTTGACAAGGCTTGGGCTCTTTGAATTCTGCGAAAAGAACGGCCGAGGATGCTCCTCGATCAGGTGTCTGTTAACAGAGAAGCCACCACATCTTCTGGATTCTGCCGCATGTTGTCCTGGTCCAGCCTCGCGCGGCTGTCGCTCCTGCTGCAACGGGGCATGCATGCTGGTGGCAGTCTGAGTATTGGAATATGTGCACCGACTACTTGACATCGGTGTCCTGCTTCTGCCACTTCGCAGCCTGCCAAGGTCTGTGTCCGCTCATGAAAGTGCCACATTGCGGGCATGGAAACACTGCGGCTGGCCTTCCGACGCAGCAGTCTCGCCCTTTTCAAAGCTCGCCGAGCCTTGAAACTCATGATAAGGTGGAGTTTGGGAGGCCTTGCAAATGCGACGAAGCCACAGACCCGAGGTGGTCGCTCTCACGCGTGGCTCATTGCACAACAAGGAAGCTTCCGCCACCATTGTCCACAGACCTGAGACAAGAAAGCAAAACCTGCTGAGGTTTCGGTGCCTAGATTCTCTCTTCCCTACCCGTCAACTCTCCTTCCCAGACGTTTGGTGGTGGCAACCAGGAAGTTGTCTTGACGGACTCATCCCGACAGAGGCAGCAACTGGCACGGTTGCGGAATGCTGCAGCCTTTCCACCTTTGAGGAGGCACGGCCACTTCATACAGCCGCATGTAAATGGTGCACGCCGTGCCTTCCCAAGTCACGAAGGCGTCAGAACCTCGCTTCTCGGGTTGTCGCAGAGCCTATTTTCCAACAGGTGAAGTGGGAGCCTTCAGCGCCTTCAGCAGAGCCTTCTGCTCCCGCGGCCTGGGCCAAGCTCCTCACAGAGCAGCTGATAGAGCCTTTCAATGGTCGAGAACCGAAGCACATCAACCCATGTGCTTCTCCGAGCTTAGAACCTATGTCAAACACAGTGGGAGCTTGAACTTGCAAGTTCGCCTCTTGAGCAGGGCACGCGCTGCTTTCACGCGAAGGCCTTGGCAAAGCAGTGCCACTGCATACTCGCAGCTTGTCGCCTGGCGGAGCTTTCGGACTCACCTAAACTAGGTGTTGGCATTATCCTCGCCACACTGCTGCGAATGCAGTCTGCCGATGCTGCTTCGCGGCTACGCACCAAGTTCATAAGTCTCGATGCGACCCTCAAAATGCCGGCCACTCATCAGGAGGGACGCCCCACTCATCTTCCATTCGCCTGTGCCGGAAGATTGACACGAAACTCAGAGTCAAACGCATCAGCGCTAAACTCAGCAAGCGAGGCCTCAGCAGTTCAAGCGAAGCCTCGACCTCCCCAGCCCGCCGCAAGCCTTCCGCCAAAACGAGCATTGCAAAGAGAAGCTGACAAGAGCATTGCAAGCCAAGCACTGCACACCCCTTGGGCCTCGAAGTAGCCTCAGATGCCACGTGCTTCCACCACAGAGAAGCCGTGCACGTGTTGCATGCATGGTGGCCTGTGGCGGCCTGCGACGTCCTTTCTGACACCAGCCAGGCAGCGTGTTGGCCGTTCGGATGTTGGGTTGGCATCCGGAGCTCAGCATGTCCTCAAGCGCCTCAGAAGACTGCACGACGATTCACGGGGTCATGAAGGCTTCAAGGTCAGGAGGCCTGTTGAGCTTCCTGTATCTGACCTGCTTCACACAGACCTTTCAGCAGCGTAGTGTAGGCCACCACCTGGGAGATGCTCACAACACAAACTGTTCATAACGACAACCGCAGCAGCAGCCCACCACCGCCGCCACCAACGACGACGAAACTGGCGACGGCTGCAGTAGGAAGAACTGCAGCAACAACAACGGCAAATGCAACGGCAACGGCACAGCAGCTGCTGCTGCTGCTGTATTCTTCAGTGCAAAAAAGGGCACCAGTCGTAGTCAACATCCTCACAATCGTCACATTCATGTTGGTATGTAGACAGAAAACACAGAAGAAAAGTGAACATTATCACCACCACCGGCCAGAACCTCGCAGCATGCCCCTCAAGTATACGTTGTGTAGTTGACTGTGTTGGTACAATGTGCCAATCCAGCCCAACTCCAATGCTCTGAAGGCGGGAAGCCTCCTGTGAGGCCCCGGCACCCGGATTCACGCCCTGCTTCCGGGACTCCTGGAGCCAAGTCCTGGCCTGGAATTTTGACAATGATAAAGATTCTGAGTATGATGGAACCGAACAGTGATAAGATGTAACATATGATTGCGCAAGTCTTCATGCAATAACCGCAAGCAGGAACCGCAAAAATAAATGGGGTTACTACAGTGATATTCTGGGCTGTGCTTCCGCCAGTCGGTGCCGACTACAACACGCCTGCGAGAGGTCTCCCACACGCACGGCAGCGTTGACCAGCGCACCGAAAGTCTGGGCCTCTGAAGAAAGGGCATCATCAGATCCCTTTCGACAAAGAGCGAGCGTGACCGTGCCGTAAGTGCGGGTCGCTCGGCTGCAGCCCTTCTTCCAATATGTCTTGGAAGGCTTTGCGGGCCTGTTGATGATTTGCAGCATGCAACAGCGCAAGTGAAGACGAAATCGAAGCAATTCAGCTGATTCCTTTTCCCAGCACTCCCACTTTTTCGATTGTGCGCTTTGCTCAGCAAACTTTGCCGACAGTACCTGGGGCATCGCAAGTTGGCAAATTGCCGCGCTTGTACAGGGCTTGCCAGTTTCCGTCAAGCTGCATGGTGCCATCCCCTTCGCTGGCGTCAAGATCCTGGTCGAGCTGTCTGTGCAACGATTCCACGGAAGGGAAGGGACGGGATGACTGGGCCCAGCCTCCCAGCCCACGGCTTGTAGCATGGCCAGCGCCTCGGCCTCCTTGGGTAAGGGGGCGGCCTCGTCACGTCGGCAAGCTAACCACACTAAGCGTGACCTGAAGCATTCACGGCACAAGAGGTGAGGAGATGGTGCGACGGCTGCATGTATAGATCCACGCGCGCGGTAGGATCCTTCGTCCCTTCCTCCCCGAATCAGCAGAGTGCCTCAGCGATGGGGCCTGGTCGGAGCTTCATGTCTCGCAAAAGCGAGCCTAAGCTTGGCTCATAAGGACTGGGTGTCTGAAGCTGCCAAACGGAATCTGAGAGCGCAGCGACAGCTCCGAAGATCAGAAGCCACTTCGTTTCGACCTGGAGGTTTCTCTTGTCGTGGCTCTGCATGCTCCGCTTAGGAGCCCTGAGCCCGCCTTCCGCAATCTTGACTAGGGAAATTTGCCGTTTGATCTGGGCAGGGTTTCGCCATGCCCGCCCTCGGTGGACGCAGCTTCTGTTGTCGCAGATCACGAGGTCGCCAGCAGACCAGGAGTGGCGATAGATAAACCTGAAGACCCCGTGATAGAACCCGTACAAAGAACAGCCGGCAGCTTCTCTGAAGGCTCTCTCGAAAAACAGGGGGGCACCAAAACAAAACATGCCAAGGAGGACAAAGCTGCCGCTCCTGGGTCACGTGTTTGTTGATCTTCCTGACGTCAGGTTCACGACATGATGGTACATACTCGGCTGAATGCAGCTCACAGGTCCTGATCAAGGCACGCCCTGATTGCAGCGACATGCCCTCGATGTGGCTACAGTGTCTGCCGGCAAAAAGGGACCTTCAGCGCAACATAGTGCAACTGAGAGTGCGGCTGCTCGACATGACATTTGCCTATCTGCGCCTCCCAGTGGGTGTATGTCGAACGAGAAAGTGTCGCGCAGGTGGAAGGCGCCGAAGGAATCGAGCCGCGCATCCAGTCAGGCCCAAGCTGTATCGAAAGTCATGGACACCTCGGAGCTACGTCAGCCCGGAGAACGGGAGCATGATGTTGAGCACTCTTGCTTTTTGCTTGCTCCCCCATGTTGGCCGGGCAACAAAGCAGTCGGTCGAGTTCATGCTGCTCCGCTGGAGTCAATGCATTGAAAGCCACACGAGAAGAAGCAAACTCCGTCTCTCCACCGCTTCCTGCCGCCGCCGCACTGTCGGTACCGGAATATGGTGCAAAGGCGCTTCCCAATGAGCGCAAGCTTTTTGGACAAAGGTTCGAGGGGTCAGCATACAAGAACAGCTGACAGGGACGTGCATGTCCTGGCGGCACCACGATATTCCCCACCATCAAAGAAGCCAGAGCTGGCATCACCTGGAGCAGAGCACACAGGGCCCTCTTGGGCTGCTCAGCTCGCGCGAGAGCGGGGCCTTGAAGGAGGAGTCAATGTGCCAAAGTCCATTTCCGGCTCGAAGCTTCAAAAGGCGATCGTCAGAGGCAAGGATGCAGCCTCGTGAAACTGCTGCGACAGTCGCCGCCAATGCCGGAATCACGGAAATTCACGGAATCACAGGCATGCCGCCTGTTGCGGCATCAAAGTTCGCAATCCGACCTTGGCAGCTTCCCATATGACGCTGGGAACATGTTTCCGTGCCACTGGCTGTAGAAGCTAGAGCGCCGCGACTGGTAAATCGCCAAGCTTATGTCGAGTTGCCAATGAGCCTCGTTGTGCTTGAGCTGGAGCTTCTGGTGCTCCCTTTCCGGACTCGGCCGCCCGCGGGCCCTTCGCTGGCCTCGAGCTCGGCCCCTGGGAATTCGGCTGCAAAGGCTCCTCCGGTAGAGACGAGGACTGCAAGAGAAACAGAGAGAGCTCAAAGGACAGCGTCAAGTCGGGTCTCTTGCAAAGCCAATGAGCTCATCGTCTGTCAAGCCCGCAGATTTGAACACCAACACGGAATACCTCATTCGAAAACAACTCACTCCATCTGCTCCGTCCCCTTTTGTCACGTGGATGGGCTCAAGAACCGCGTCCAAGACTCTGCTCGAAAAGATCCCGCAACAAAGACAGAGAGCCTGCGTCGAGCTCGGAGCTTAGTCGAAGTCCGTCGACCTGAGCGGAAGACGCAAGATGATGCAAGCAAAGATCATGAGAGGCTCGGCCTTGACTGCAAAGGCAAATGAAGTCAGAGGTGTGACAGACACCGGCACTTCCTGGGATTCAGTTGACCAAAGCTACGTGCAGCTAGACTAGGCTAGGGAAACGTAGGTAAAGCCATAAGGAAGGATGAGATGCAACATGGCGTCTCGTCCTTGTCTCCCCGGTTTCCCCAGCTCGTTCAGCCTGAGAGGTTGCACCTTCGATGCGAAGTGACCTGGTCGGCTACATGAGTCCCGGCCAATTCCCATGAAGATTCTCCCATCAATTTATCTCAAACCTGCCTCCTGCGCCACACCTGGCCCTCGGCCGGCGGCCATTCAAGCAGACCGGCAAGAGCAGCTCAAAGCCACACCTCTTGAGGCCCAGCATGGACAGACGCGTTCCCTGCTGTGGTCAGCGAGTTACATCTCTCTGTACACAAGGCTGAAGAAATTCGGGAACCAGCTGCCTTCCGAAGACGCTGCTGGAGCTACCGGACACTGGCGCAGCTGAAGGAAGCGGCGAAGACAGCGATGGAACCAAGCTTCTTGCGCGAGGCTGTGGTGACACAGTGGCAGCAGCCCGCATGGCAGCAAGACACTCCCATGGCAAGCGCTTTGAAGGGCGTGCAAACTAAGACATACGAAGCTCGCTGAGGGATTGGTATTCGACAAATATCGCAGGTGTCGACTCGACGATGTCGATGCCAATTCAATCGCTGTGCTTCACACACATCGGCGACGGGTCACGATCGCATGGATCTGTTTCGAGCGCATCAAAAACTGCAGGTTGCCGCTGCCTGCTTCATCTTCTTGAAGCGTGCGGCCCGGGCAATGACCTGGCGCAACAGAAAAATCCTGATGAATCTGAGCTCTTGAGACTGAAGTGAAGGCACCCCTTCCGGTTGTCATTTGAATCTGGAAATGTGCATTAGGCTGCTGGGCCTGATTGAGACGGACAAGGCGATCTCGCTGCCATTTTGCCTCGGCTGCTGTCAGCCAGGGACTGAACAGTGATTGCTGCTGAGACCGGGGCCATCTTGGGTCGAGCTCCTCGAGCTTTGAAGCTGGTGGCCTTCAACACCAGAGCAAGGCTAGAGAAGTGGCGGCGAACAAGTACAAACACGGACCACCCGGCCACCTGGGTGTCGACTGCAGCATTCCTCTTCCGCTTCATGGTCAAGGCTGCAATACGTTGCGTGTTATGTGCAGAGGAACAAGGGCCATCCTGCTGTCGGAGCCAAGCGATGGCTGATGCAAGCCTGTTGCGGAACGAATGGGATTACACTACACTACTGTCACTACTGTCGATACGCTGTCAAGACTCGAGCAAAAGATGCTCGGTCTCAATCGAGCAGGAGACTTCAGGCTATTTCAGATTGGCAGACGCTATTCGTTGTTTTGCGTGAGGGTCACCGAAGCAAACGTAAACTTCACTGTTTTTTGTTTTTGCAGCGTGGCAACTATGTCTGCCTCCACCCGTGTAAAAAGCGCAGCTTGAAGCTCCATCCTGACATCATACTGCAGCATAGCCGTCAGCAAGCCCCGCATGAATACTTTTGCCATGCATCGGGCCTGTCGACGGCGGAGCAGGAGTCGGCCACCAGGCAAACTGCTGTTGCCTAAGGTATGCGAAAAAGCAACTACTCCGTGTACCTGACACAACTGCACAAAGGTGTTTTGACTGCTGTCTTCCAAGGGGCATCGGGCCAAAGGCCTGTTTGCAACAACATGTTCTACACTGAGTTTACATGCTCTGCCGTTGTACTGAGTCTCCGGCGCAGGGCATGCATCTCATGGAAAAGTGCGAGCACCATCTCTGGCTGCTGGCAAGCCTGGCGTGCTTGCTGCACAAGCGATCTCAGGCGAATGCCACAAAGCCAGTCTCCTCCATGACTGAATTGAAAGCGACGGCCCCGGTCTGCATCCTGCGATAGCCATCCCACACCAAATGTCTTTGCAGGGGGCACACACATGCCAGACATACCTATCACTGATCTTTACACTTACACAGCCCGTCCATGGTGGCCCAGTCGGATCCAGAAGGAGAAGCCCCTTCTGCCACTGCCGCGCCGCTCCACAGGCAACGCAGCAGTTGTTGACAGTTAGCCTATGGCCAGATTGCAAGGCGGGAAAACATCTAGCTGTTTGCTTGTCCACTTAGGGAAAAGAGCTCATGCCAGGCGTCTCCTGGGGGGTCAGAGGACAGAGGACGTAGCAGCTTCTCCACAACTAGCTGCGGACTAGCTTGAAGACTTGAAGGATCACTGCGCGATAGCCTGTCTGGCAGAAGGCCACGCTGCCGAAGCTGCTCCAGCGCTGCAAACGCGCTGGTCCAGTCCGAGCCTGCAACGGCCTGGGCACCAAACTGCGGCTGACCTTCTGGCTCGGTTCGCTTCAGCGTTTCCGGCTCTGTTCTGCAACTATACTTCTGGCGGGATTCCCCCCAAACTGAGCGACATCACTGCTCAACGAAGCACTTGTCATACCCTGGCCCGGTTCAACGGATGAAGTGCTGCAGCAGAGCGACCAAATAGGCATTGAAAGAAATGAGGTCCGGCTGCGGGCCGCATTTGAGCATTTCGCTAAGAAGAGCCGATGCCTTGAGCACCTACCAGGCGACCCAGTCACAATCTCAAGGGGGGGCGCTCCAAAAGCTCTGCGCCTCCATGGCCCGGCCACAGGCTGTGATCAGCACATTGCATGCGCCGGGAAGGCTGCCCGAAGCCGGCCTTGGCGTCCGGAGCGGGAAGAGAGGCGCAGAGACGCAGAGACGGCGGAGAGTGAGACATGTTGGGACGCTGGCCCTGGCAAGGAGTCAAGGAGAGACGTCGCTTCCGGCCAGGCGTGGGCCGTGCCCATGGCATTGATCACGGCTCCAGCGAGGACTCCATCGACCTCCCCTCTGCGATGCAGGTCGAAGTATGCAAAGATGTAGAGCGCCTTCCTCCAGTGCTTGGCGCAACACGTTGCAGCCGCCGCCACTGCCTCTTTGGAAAGCAGGCGGTGACCTGCCATGGTTGCGAGCAAGGCGGTGCCTCTCGGCCAATCGCTCGCAGGCCCCGAGGCCGCAGCTGCCCCCGTGGCTGACAAATCCCAGAGTGCTTGACCAGCCGTAGCAGTGATGAGCCCTGTGAAGGTGACGGCGGTCAGCTCCATTAGCTGCGTCTTCATTGTCTCCAGGGTCAGGAGTGCGTGACACCAGCTCCGGCTCCTACAGAGAGAACCGTACGCAGCTCCCTAACTGCCCTAACTCGAGCAAGAGTCAGCCACAGGTCGTACGGTCCTGCCAGAGGCAGTGATGGCGGCATTGCAGAGCACAGAGTCGGAGGGGGCGGCTGCCAGAAGCGTGGCAACGGGCCAGGCGCCTGCCTCGGCACACAGCCCGGCCACTGCGCTGCGCACGAAGACGTTTGCCACCAATCCTTCCACGAGACAAGCCGCTACAGTAGCAGAGGCACGGGCCGACAGCTCTCCCATTCTTTCCCTATCCCGCCTTGGATTGAGACGTCCCTGGCCATGTGCAGTGCGAGGGACCACCGCGAAGCTCGACTCCGGGACCACGGGGAAGGGGAAGTCAGGCCGCTTTTCGAGCGCCTCAAGGCGCTCAAGGCCTCGGATCGGAGCCCGAGAGCCCGAGAGCCGAGTCGTGAAATTAGGAGCAAAGACAACACAGAGGAAGAGAGGCGCGGCTTTGACTCAGAGGCCCTCCCTCTCTCCGAATCAAGTGGCCGAAACATGGCTTCGCTGGTTCGTTCTGATTTGCCAGTGTCTCGCAGCCGCCAGAAGTTCCGAAGCAGCGACCCACAGGAGCTGTCGACCTGAGGCTACAAGACAGTGAGAGCAGACCCGAATCTGCCAAGCTCTGCCGAGCGACCCAAAGTCATCACCACACCATTGAACAGCACCACCTCCGAAATTCTGCTCTCCTCCGGTCAGGATATTGCAGCGAAGTAGGTGAAGCGGCAACTGTCAAGTTGGGCTACGAGGCTTTCATGCCGAGACTCTTCCTAAAGCTTTAGAAACTTCCGAGACTCCCAGACTCGATCCATCGCAAGGAACGGGGCAGCCAGATCGAATCATGACTGATCGTGACTGCATTGATCCGCGTTTCTGCTGTGTCTGCATAAGCACCTGATGGACGGCTTGTCAATTTTGTTGAGGGGTCGGCCTGCAGTAGCCTGCCCTGAGCTCCATCATCGTCACTTGCACCCCTCGCTCCCCCATCACTCCCCATCTCTTCCCACTCCAGGTTCGGGACTCGGACACGACATGGCACAGCTCTGTTGGGAAGGATCAGCACGGCTCAAAGTTGGGTTCGAGCTTGCGGCAGGAATGTGGCCTCTGATCTCTCGTTGCTTAGTCGTGAGGCTCGCACACTTTCCGAGTCCAGAGGATGAGACTCCAATATTGGCTTGAGTTCCCAGGATTCCTTTGCAGGCTTCAGATGTTCACGACGCAGGGTGCTCCGAAGCCCAACCACGAGAGACTTCCCTGTGTAGAAGCTAAAGTGACGCTGTAGCAGTTGTCCTGCACAGCTTCCAGCAAGGCCAGTGCCGGCTTCCAATATGTCAAGCGAGAGCAGGCATCAATGGTGTCAGCGACGTTTGCAAACGTCGGCCGGCAGTGCCGGCAGGTCTGCTTCAAGCCCTTGCAGCCCTTTGTGGTCTCCCAAGCTTTCGCAGGCATGGCCATGTCCACCTGCAACGGCCAAACGAAGCTAATCCTGGAATATCAACAAAAGCACCGCATGAGAGACACATCCACGCATTGGGGTTGGCACCTCCCGCTCTTATGAAGAGTCCGCAATGCATCTGCAGGTTCTGCACAAGCTGGCGGCAAAGCAAGCATTGCAAATGCCTCTGGAGGCATTAAGGTCATGGTCACTTGGCTGAACTGAACATGGTCAGAGATCCTTTTGAAAGGCACATTGTGCGGTGGCTGAGTAGTGCTGGAGGGTTCCAGTAAATATCCTTGCATGTGGCAATGCCGCATGTAGTTGGAGGTGAAACAGCCTTGGAGGAAGCCAAAGGGATTCGGAAATTGCTGCTTCGACAGCTCGCTCAGCACAGAGTTACTTCAGAGTTGTCGATGCGCATGTCTTGTCTTGCGGGAAGTTGCGACTTCGGATCAAGGAGCTCTCAAAGCACCGACCTGTGGGGGATTCGGCCACGCCCTTTTTGTTTCAGGATGTGCCTCGCACGCACCGTTCGCAGCTGGTAGCCCCAGCTGCAGATTTGCAAGCTGGCACCCAACCTTCACGAAACGCTGAAGAACAACGATCTATGCAGCTGGCGGCCACCCTGCAGGGTTCCCGGACAATCCCTGATGCCCATGATAAGAAGAACAACGTTGAGGCTGCGACGCAAAATCGCCGCGAAATGCGTGCACTAATCCTGCCAGGGAAATGGCACACTTCGTCCCTGGAAACAGCCACGCTGGACTTCGGCACTGTGGCAGACCTCCGCGCGACGGAGCCAGCACATCGGGTTTTTCTTCGTCGCTGACACATCCTGCTGGAAGCTGAAGAGCTCCTGGTCAAGTTTATGGACTTTGCATGGACTGAGTCAGAGATCCCAGAAATCCTTGATCATGCGGATGTTGTAAAGCAGCGCTGTCCATCCTCGACCCAGAAAACAGGGGCTGCGGGATCAAAAGAAGCCAAATAGCCATCAAAACCAATAGCCTGGGATCAAACAAAATCAAAATAGCGATCTAAGAAAATCAGGTACCACTCGTAATAATAGTAGCAATAGTTGTAGCACGAGTGCAAGAAGCAAGAGTAGCAATAGAAGCGATAGTCGTGATGAGGGCAAAAGTAGCAATAACGGTGATAGTAGCAAGAGTAGTCACACCAGTAAGACTGGCAATGATTGTAATAGTAGCAACAGGACAGTGTGCACGGCATCGGGAACCGCTAACTGGATGTTGCCGCATGGTCCGCTTGGGTCGCTTGGTGCTGCGACGACATGGGCAAGTGAGCACGGTCACTTGGTCCGCGTGGTTCACTTGGTGCACTGGCCAAGCCCGAAACCCTACACCCCAAACCCCTAAACCCTCAAAACCACTACACAAACAAGCCCCTACACCCTAAAACCCTAAACCCTAATCGAGGAAACCTACGCCCTAAACCTTGAACCCAAATCCCTGAACCGCAGACCCGGAACCCGAAACCCTGAACCCCAAAACGGTAAACCAAGTCATGCAAGTGGACCAAATGACCAGTATCACTAGCGCAAGTTGTGTTGTACCCGTACCCCAAACCAAGTTGACTAAAAACCACAGTCACTTGCCCAATTTGTAGCCTTATGCACAAACCAAGCCGCGTGTACCGATTGGCGGTTCAAGAATCCACATGCACTGCAATAGTATCAGTGCTACTAGTGTAGTAATGACTCAAGTAGTAGCAAAAGTAGCCGCAGTAGCAGTAGTAGCAGTAGTAGCACGGTAGCAGTAGTAGTAGTAGTAGTAGCAGCAGCAGTAACATAGTAGCAGTAGCACTGCCACTACTGCCAGTGCTGCCAGTGCTGCCACTACTGCCACCACTACTACTACTACTACTACTACTACTACTACTACTACTACTACTACTACTCACTTCGCACCACAATCTTCTGAGCCAGTCTGTGCTCTGCGCAGCATCCGACATAGATCGGAGCCACTGGCAACGAGGTGTATCGGAAAGGGGTGCTACTACTACTACTACTACTACTACTACTATTTCAATTGAACGCTGTGCGAGCGGGCTCAGCACATAGCGGGCGATTGCTGCGGTGCACTCACGGTGGTGTGAAACTGACTCAGACCCTTGAGACTGATTAGCCCAGAGCAAAAAGGACCCGATGAGAGGTCGTGCGGCCTACTTTGCTTCTATCTGATTGGCAGAGGGCAGCTAGCAGCTAGAGTGGATTTGCAGGCAGCAAAACGTCGAGCTCCATTTTGTGAAGGTGTACCTGAGAATTGTCAGGAACGGGTTTGCGTAAGGCATGCTTGGAGTGGTGCAGCAGTAGCAAGTTGACGGCTGGCTCTGTCCTGTTTTTCAACTGACAGCAACGGCTTCATGCAGAAAAGCCATCAGTGCTTCGGGGAAGAAACTTGCAGCAGGTCAGAAGAAAACAGGCAGTGCCTCCGCTGCTAGATATGCACATTGCCATTGGCACCATCCGTGATTGTAGAGGCTCATTGATGCCAGGAGCGACTGCCACTAGCACCAGAGTCGGAGCCACGGTTCCACCAACCACCCCGCGACCAGGCATCGCCGTCTCGGTAGCGCTTGTCAGTGTGAGACTGTGTCTCCTCACCCGAGCGTTTGTCGCGCTGCTCTCGCTGACGATGCCATTGGTAGATGGCAGTGTCGCCTTTGTTATGCTCGATCCTGAGCTTGCGGACAACTTGGCCATCGCGGGGCTGGTAGAAGATGGCACGATTTTGTCCGCCGCTCTTTGTGGAAGTTTGGTCGTAGATGCACTTGAAGGTTGAGGCAACGATCTCGAAGTTCTCGTCCGTCTCGAGCACAGCGTTCATGTCCGCGTGGTCCCACATTTTCTGAAAGAGGGCATGCACGATGCCATAGTACGCCGTGGTGGACTTGAGCTCGGTGTAGCAAAAGCGTGGACCCACTCCAACATCTGGACTACTACTACTACTACTACTACTGCTACTACTACTGCTACTACTACTACTTCTTCTTCTTCTACTACTGCTTCTTCTACTGCTGCTACTACTACTACTACTGCTACTACTACTTCTGCATACTGGTGTTAGTGTCAATGTCAGTGTCACTGTCAGTGTGAATGGGCAGTGGCTGTGGTTGTAGTAGTAGTAGTAGTAGTAGTAGTAGTCGTCGTCGTCGTCGTCGTCGTCGTAGTAGTCGTAGTAGTCGTAGTAGTCGTAGTAGTCGTAGTAGTCGTAGTAGTCGCAGTACTCGTAGTAGTCGTAGTAGTCGTAGTCGTCGTAGCAGCAGTAGTAGTAGTACTACTACTACTACTACTACTAGTTGTTGTTGTCGCCATCTTCGTAGTAGCAGTAGTAGGCTTGGTGGTGGTGGTGGTGGTGGTGGTGGTGGTGGTGGTGGTGGTGGTGGTGGTGGTAGTAGTAGTAGTAGTAGTAGGGGGTAACAGTACAAATAGCAATAGCAATAGTAATACACATATACATGGTAATCTTAATACCAGTGGTAATGATACGAATGCTAACTGCCAGAACTGATAACCATAATACTCATTGCACAAATCACAATACGCATAGTAATACCAAGCATCATAAGGGTAGTTTCAGCAACAGTAATAAACACATATAGTGACATTATTCGAGCAGTATCAAGTGCTGCTGCTGGTGGTGGTGGCGGCGCTGCTGCTGCTGGGTGCTGCTGCTCCTGCTGCTGGTGCTGCTGTTGCTGCTGTTGCTGCTGGTGATTAGCGGTACGAGTAGTACTAGTATGAGTAGTCGCTGCGAGGCGCATTTTTGAAGGGTCTCAATAGCCGGAACGCCAATAGGTTCGAAGAATGTCTCTCACAACTCGCACTGCCGCACAATATGTCTTTCGAGGCCTTCAATCAGAGAGAAACACCTCCCAAAAGCCAGGGAAAATGTCTCCTTAGGCCAGGTACCTGCATTACCTGCAGCTAAGCAGCTTTCACAACCGATGCCCCAGGCAATGACAGAAACGTCTTCTGGCAGGCCCATCGGCAGCAGCCTTATGATCTCATCATAAATCCATGAACCTTCACCCAGGCACCGACAGTCCTATCACTTCCACGAACATGAAAGAAACGGATTCCATTCCCAACCCAAGCGGCATCTCTGGTCTGAAGACACCACTGTTGCCCACCTCGCATGTCGCTTGAGGCAAGCGTGCGCCTCGTCTGTGCCTTCATGTATCCCACCTCAATCCACTTCTTGAGGATCGGGTGGAAACCTTGTCCGAGTCCACGCATGCATACGTTTGCATCATGATGTGCCATCGACATCATCAGCCTGATTGCCACTTCAACCCTGAAGCAGGCTGAATGCTGCTGCTGCTGCTGCTGCTGCTGCTGCTGGTCGCAGCGTTGCGACCGACAAAGCCCCGCACCGAAAATCTCCATGGAGGGCTCGGTATAGGGGTTGTAAGCTGGCTTGAAACCTGAAGCTCCAGACGTCGCGCTTCACGATTGGCCTCTTCGCTCGCTTAGCTCCGGGCGCAGCTTCGAGATGCCAATGCGGCTGAAGAAGTCACGCAAGGTTCCAATGAGCTGCGGCAGGCCAATGTTACCTGAAATGCGTGGCCGCCGACGATAACACAGAGCAGTGAAGCTTAGTAAGAAAAGCGAGCGGCAACAGTGACTTGGATGCGATGTTTTTTCCGTCTCGACAAGCCCTTCCTGTGGCTTCACGGGGCACGTCTGGCCGCCTAGCCACCATGAATTCCGAGGCCATGTCAGCTGCAGGCTACATGTAATGCAACAGCCCAAGACCCTAAAAGCGTGACTTCGGCCACTAGCAGCGGCGCCACCTTCAGGATCATATGCACCGAATACAGGTGCCGCTCTTCAAAATTTCAGGTGGATGCACTAAGGCTGGCTCATCGAGCTTGCCACCCAGTAACAAGCTGCTTGGACCAGCGTGTGACTACCCGCGACTAGTGAAGCAAAAACACTTGCAAGCTTCACATACATGTATTATTACATAGAGAAAGAATGGAGAGAGAGAGAGAGAGAGAGAGCGAGAGAGAGACGAAGACAGGTCACTGGTACATATACTTATAGGCACACAAATGGAGATCGTTGGTATCATGATGATGAGCATAGACTACACTCCCAAGCAAGATTCCTTTGAGTCTTGGGCCAACTTGGCTGCCTGTCGTGCTCATCCATTCTGTGCAAAAAGCACCATAGACAACACCAATGACCAACGTGACAGATACGACCGTGGAGTAAGTGCACGGCGGTCCGCTATGAAGCCCTCGATTTGATGGAACTCGGCCAAGTGCGTTGCCTCAAACTTTCGCGGTGTTTCTTCTATCCCGTGAGGAGCTTCGACCGGTGGCGAAGCTGGCAACAGATGCGCACTGAGACCTGTACATCGAGTGTCTCATTTCTGAAGACACGATCAATGGAAAAATACTTCTTGGGCCGGAAAACGCCTGTTTTCCGATACTCCTGCAATTCAGTTCCAGGTTGCACACAATATCTGGGCGCATCCAACACATGCAAGCATCAAAGGTCTTCTGACTGGCCTCACCCAACTTGTAAAGCGTCCTGGCCTGGGCAGCCGGGCTCACTCAGAGCCTGGAAAGCGCGCAGACACGAATCCAATCCAGAAGCTCAGCATCAGACTGACACAGCCGTCGTATGTGTTCTGAGGAGTGTCTTTTTCGCTTCATCCTGCGGAATAACCGAAGCCGGGACGCCTTTTTGACTCAAACCACGTATGAATGCACACGTAAAGGACATGTACAACTATGCGTCTGCAACTGCATGCGTGTATGTGTATGTGTACACAGTCTCATGCGACGACTAGACTAGGCAGTCCAAGATCGGATGACGGAGACGGATAGACGGACAGACAGACAGACAGACAGACAGACAGACGGCACAGACAATCAGGTATATAGGTAGATAGAGCGGCGGACGGACAGACAGAGGCAGATAGTCAGGTAGGCAGATAGGTAAATAGGTAGATGGGTAGACAGGTAGGTAGACGGGCAGATAAACGGATAAATAGAGTACTAGATAGCCAGGTCAGTGTATGAGTACAAAGAATACAAAGGCGGGCAAGCAAAACATGATGTGTGTGTGTGTGTGTTCACTTGTGTATGTCCAGAAGTATACATAGAGCAATATTTGACCACGATGTCAATACATGTATATACCCATGTTGTTATTATGTCACATCAAACTGTATCGCCACCGACATGCCCTGATGATACTTGTACTTGACCATTCCAATGAGACCTGCATTCTTACCTTGATGATCCTTCCTTTACGCGATACTGGGCGACTGCAATTTCGGAATCCTGCAAAAATGTGTCATGAGGTCCAGTTTGCATTTTTGAAGGACAAACGCACCAGAACGGGCGATGGCAGGACCCAAGAGAAACTCGACGAACACTCGGGCTACACACAGGTCAAGACGAAGGCTTCTCCGAAGGCCGAAACATGGGTTCGAGGCAGGGGGGTTCCACGGCCTTCGCCGGATAGGGAATGAGAACTCCAGGTACGACAGTTCAACAGATCCCGAGATTTGATTCGGCATCTCCTGCAACGATAAACACGGCACCGGATGCTGGCCAAGTCTCCTCGCTCCAGTCATAGCGCCATCCGATGGATCCCTGACCACCCTTCCTAACAGCAATGTCGCTGCAACAACTTGCTGGAGAATCGGAAACCCTGCTCTTGTTGACTTGTCACTCGAACCGTCATCGAGCCCGCCACTCATGCATCTCCTTCACTTTCGCAAGGTACTCTTCCGGGATGTCCTGTGCCCGGCTGGGCTCCTGCAACCGTCGTAGCTCAAGAGTTGTCCCAACACGGCTTTGAAAAAAGCCTCCATGAAGAAGGTGTCGTGGGCATCTCTCGCTGGATGCCTCGGCTTCTGACCACGCATGCGAAAGTTCACAACAGCAGACGCACGAAACGAAACATCAGAGATTGAAAGACGTTCGAAGTCTGACATTTAGCGGCCATGATGCTGCTGCGGCTGGAAAAGAGCATCGAAGTTCCAGAACGAACTCTCCACCCACCTGATGGTAACGGTGCAGCTCTGCATGTAAGCCATATCATTGAGACTCTAACAAAGACTTGTCACGCCCCTGCAGCTTGCATGTGTTCAGGTCCGTACTGATTTGTGGTCATCTCCTCGAAGCCCATCTGCATCAGAATCTGGCGCATCTCTGTCTTTACCTGCCGGCACCAACAGGAAGCGCAGTCATGCAAGTCAACGGACGGCACACACACGCGCACACACACACACACTATACTCTAACAGCTCAACCAAGTGTAGGGGTCCTTGTTGAGGGGATGCAAGTGTCCACCAGTGCAAGGTACACCGCTGACATTTGTCAGGTTGAAGGGCTTGAAAGTCGTGCTGCTCCACGTGCCCTGCACAATGGTTCGATGCCCCTACATCGCAAGCATGCCAGCAGTTGCTTCTGCCTTCTGAATCATCTCGGCTGTCAGGTCGGCAACTGCCTTCTGAGACGCTGCTGAGAACTTGTCGCTCCTCTCGACCTTGCACCAATCAGCTTGTCGAAGTGAGACTGCGTGATTTGATGCTCCGAAGTTAGGCCTTGAAGGCCGTCAGGCTCGTTGGCGCTATGAGCTTTCGCTTCTTCAGCGCGTCCAGCTTCGCCTCCCGAAGCCGAATACTCCCGTCGGGGATGGTCGGAGAATCCCTGCCTGGCCTTGTCTAAGGTGCTCAAAGACGTGAGCTCTTTCTGGACGCCGTCCTCCACGGATTCCACGGAGGGCGTGCAGACCTGCAAAGTTGGTGCCTCCTTGCTCACGCGTGCCATATGGATTGCTGTGGCTGCCTGCCATGCCCGTGTATGCCCGTGCCTTGGTGGCCTTATCGATGGAGACCCACTTGTTCTTCATGCAAGTCCCGAGGCCTCCGGCAGAGGAGTGGCGGCTGGAACGGAGTCTTTGGGAGATCAGGTCCATGTAGGTGCGGTGCCGATCTTCGCAATGGCACCCAGAGCGGCATCGACGTCTGCATTCGGGACGGAGCCCCTGGACTTGATGAAGCTGAAAACCTGAGATTGTTGTGGACTCGCGGGCCGCAGCACCAGAGAAGCCCAGCCCGAAGCTGACCTGGAACTCCGGGCTTCCCTTCTCCATGTACTGCACCCCCTCCTCAGTCAGCTTCCAGCCTCAGGCTCGCTGCGACGAGCCGGCCGCCCAGGGCCGCCCCCCTAAACCCGCCTTCGCGTTTGATGGGCTCCGCGGTGACCTGCTCCTCTCCGGCAGGGAATGGGAAGTCCGCCGCGGACGAGCTGAAGGCACAAGAAAAGGCTTTGCACGGTGCCTCAGCCTGCAAGGACTTGATGGCGCCCACAAGCACTTCGTGGTCCCAACCTGCAAAGAAAGCTTTGGCGAGGGGCAGCAGACACCAGCTTCCTCGCCTTTGTCCTTGCACAGCACCTCAGAGTCCTCGAAGCCCTTGTTTGCCTTTGCCGTTCCCATCTCCAAACATTCTGAGACTGCAAAGATCTGCAAAGCACGACCCTTCACGGCCTCGAGGTATTCGATCAGCTGCTTCCGCATCGCTGCCATCTCGGCAAGCCCCTGCCGGAAAGCTCGAGACGTTGGAGCCCAGGCCTAACTGGCGGAAAGGGCCTGGGCGAGCGGGCGGCCCGTAGGGGAAGCGGACGGCTGCAACGAAGTCCCGAGCTAGGGCCTAGACGTGTGGGACTCTGTTGAGGCTGAGCTTGGTGTGCTGGTAATTAGGAAGCACAGTAGAGCTGTGTATCGGGAGAAATCAAGCACACGACAACAGCAATCATGAGGTGGTCATTTTGCAGCTAGCTGTCCGTGCAAAGCTAGTTCGCAAGACAAAAACGCAGCGGCAGATCACGTGCTGGCGACACGGCGGCACGGTCTTGTCAAGCCAGTGACGGACTGCAGAGTGAGTAGCCCACAGTGGCGGCTTTTGCATCTTGAATCACGCAGGCTCTTGGTTCTCAGACTGACACTGGAGGAGCATGTCGTACTCCTGGCTGGTTGAAAAAATAGTTATACTTAGTAGACCCGACTCGGACACCCCATGCTCGAGCTGGAATGCAATACAACATGACATGCTGGCAAACATCTTCTTGCTCAGTACGGTGGCTGAAACCCTCATCACGGGGCGGTGACTGCTTTTCCGTCATGTTGTCGAGGTGTCCTCCTGCCAAGCCTGCTGAAGCCTCGGAGAGCCACAGCGGAAACCCCTTGCGCTCGAGTCATAGGCTTCCTTTGAGACGAGCAGCTGTTGGACCATGGATCTCCGTTCTTGCTCTTGTTTGCAGTCAAGGATTCCCTGACCAATCTGCAGCACATTCAACAACATCTCATAGCAAGCCTGAGCAGGGCCAAAAGAAGCCTTTTTCAAACCGTCGCTCGCGGCTGGCCCCGAGCCTGGCCTGGAGGATGGAAGACTGGCTCCCCAGGAGAGCCATGGCCAGGAGGCCCCGCGCCCGATGCGCAGAAGCGGCACCGGCTTCTTCACCAGCCTTCAGAGAAGAGGGGCTCTCAGAGGCAGAGGCTCAGGACTCGGAGAGCGCTTTTGCATTCGGCTGTGTTGTGCCTTCTCCGCAGCGGCTGAACCTCACAAATCGGACGACACCAACTTCGGCGATTTGAAACGGCAAGCTCGCCATGTTTAGTGGGGCACCTTTGTCAGCCTCACGAACCAGCCAGTCCTGAGGCACAACCAGCATCAACGAGCAACAATCGAAACCACGAATGCAATGTCGAGTCTGCACATAGAATACTAATTTATGGACAAGATGGACTTCCACTGCTTCACCAAGCCAAGAACCATTGCATACTCACAACCAGCATCTCAGCATCTCAACCTATAGATGCTGGCGCCTCGGGAATAGTGTGCCTCACGCCGTTCTCCAAAAATTGAACTGTGACCGTCTTGTCGCTGGGACCTGAAGTCACTTCAGTTTGCACCTATGAATCTGCCAAGAGCTTCTCAGACCGAGTTCGAGGCGAGCGGAGAGTACTCGGCACGTCTTTGGTGCTCGACTCTTCCCTGTCCTGCCATCCTTACGCTTTGCCTGCCAACAGCGTCGGGGACTGTGCTCCCTTCGGATTCACTAGGCGCTGCCCGCTGCCTTGTAGTAGGCATAAGTAATTTCTGCCAGTTGTGGCTGGCTGCCTGTGCCAACTCCGCTGCACTCCAGTCCCTTCGTTCTGCCAGCTGCCAGTGGCTGCCAGGTCGCTATCCCCCGGCCCAGTCGGAGATCCGGGCGAAGTAATCAATGTGTCTTCCAACTCCTGACGGCAAGAGCTGGCTGCCAGAGAAATCGTGGTGGAAAATATGGAATTTTTCAGTCGCTCGCAATCGCAACAGTGTCCAGCGAGCCTGTGCGATCTTCTCGGACATCTTGTTGTAGCCCCGCAAGCTGTTCTCAAACCACTCGGCCACAAGGACTCGGGCCTGCAGCGTAAGACAATGGCATGCTCCTCCTCTTGGAGTCCTCCTTGAAGTGAAGGGTAGTACATATAGTACATATAGTACCTGTATATACATATTCTAAAGAAATATACAGTACGTATAGATCGTACAGTATATATGGCGTAGATGTTTGTGCCCCAAGCCCCAACCATTGCATCCTCTTTCTGTCGCGACGTACCAACGGGTCCCTGGTGAAAGCTCGGAGAGCGACTCAATAGCCTGGGTATGGTACTTTGTACATGTTCCAAATCAGGACAGTGAGGCTGCCAAAAGCGTACTTTCCGAAGACATAGGCTCTGGTGTCGAATCCAGAGATGTCACCCTTTGAAACCACGACATAATGATACCCTTCGTAATCGTCTTCAATGTACTCCTTGATGCACGAGGCGAAGTGTGGACCTGGATTTTGAGTCTCCTTCCAACATTTCCTGATGATTCTTTTCTCAAATCGAACGCTGCTGTCGCTCCCATCCCCCTCCACAAGGATTGGCTCCGGAATATCTGTGAGGCTCTCCTGAGAAATTTAAGAAACTAGGGTGTGGAGCTTAGGGTTGCGGGATTGCCGGGGTTTAAGAAGAGTTGAGGCTTTAGTTGTTGAAGGTTTGAGGGTGTGGGTATGTGTGGGTCCTGGATCTCGGCAGCGTCCTCCTGGCGGACATCCTGGACCTCGTCCCCGCGGCGGATCGCACTGCCCGCCACCAGCAGCGACAAGAAGACTACGACGCGTACTGGGAAGTAAGCCATGGACCTGAAGTTCAGGACTAAGCGGTTGGGGTTCAGGGCCAAGTTAAGGATCTGAGCTTCGAATTTTAACTCACAAGTAAACACCTTTACAATTTTCAGCGTTTAGTTTTCAAGATTGTGTGGCCGTACGAGTATACACCATTACAAGTCTGGGAATGTCAAAGTCAAACTCCTCGTTGCCACAAGCCTTAAAAAATGGTCGCATGGTATTGACAAGCTCACACAAAATTATTCCGACCTTACCCCCACCCACGTTCAGAGCAAACCCAGGCCTCGTGCGAGCTGCCAAACCACGACAAAGGCTAGAAGTGAATCACGTAGCTTGAGCCAGGTTTCAGGGCAACAACCAGTTGCACTGCAGCTATCGGAACGCACGTTTCATCGCTCTTCTGATCGCGCAAGACAACCAGATTCAGAATTGTCAATATGCTGGCATTGGATTCGGTCAGTACAGAACGGCTTCAGCTCGTTCCCCAGTCACATCTTTTTTCCCTACCTTCGGCTTCTTCTGCTACCATCACTCATCTCCTTCCTACAGTATTCAGTATTCTCTCCAACCTCCGTGTCCCTCTCGTCTCTCCCTCTGTCCACCACCCTTCCAGGCCTTGACTTCCAGGGCCAACTCGTCAGCATTCTTGGGCGGTGCTCGTGAACTTGCCGAATGGCCACCCCACTCGAGCTCACTGCCAGGAAGCAGGCTAGGATCACCTTGGACGAGAAGTAATCACCGGTTTGCCACTCAGATGCACTTGATGCACTCACTGCTTTCAGAGCTGCAGTCTGCAAAGAGATTCGCGAAAAGAGCATCGCACGTCTCCTGTCCGAAAGGCTCTTTTCTGCCCCAACAATGATGTTGCATACCTGAACAAGCATGGCCATGAACCAAATGCATACGTGTCCTCCATGTCCTGCGGCGGCACTGGCATGCAAATGAATCGGGCCGCAGGCAAAAGGCGACCGGTCACCATGGCATCCATTGGAAGCCGCATGAATGGCTCCGAGCCGTCAGCTTCCCGGCCTGCAGAGCTTCACCCTGTCTGGGCCGCTGTGATCCCTTGGTCCCTTCAAGCTGAGGTCGGAGCTGAAGTCAAAACCAGCACGCCTGCGCAAAATGTCCAACTTCACCTCAGGCAGCCAAAGGCTGAAGTAGCGGGTAGCGCATGTACCATGGCCACATGTAGGCGCACGACGCGAGCCCGCCTTCTTCAGTGAATCTGAACTTGCCCGCCACTGCTCTGCAGGAACCTTGATCGGAAGCTGGACCTTAGTCGTGGTGCAGCAAAACGTGCCTTCCATTCGGATAAATTCTTATTCACCCTTGTAGTGGCCGCCTCGGAGAGCACTTGTACCCGTCTCCAAAACGCCCACGAAGCATTCCGCAGAGCCGGCCCAGAGGGCATCCGGTCCGTTGTTAAAGGATCCTGCGGAGCACCCTGGAGCGCCCACCCTCGAAAACATCCTGCAGTCCGAGGAGTGCCCATTTGCAGCACATCCGTTACAGAGTATTATCTTGAGTGCCGCACTCGGACATGCAGAGTATCTCGTGAAGTATCCCACAAACTGCTTGTTTTTTTACGGGAACGTTCGAAGTTAATAGCTGCTTTCGAAAGCCACATCCGACGAACTATCCCCGGTCGGTGTGCGACACGTGTTTCTTTTACGGGAATGTTCGAAGTGAATAGCTGCTTTCGAAAGCCCACATCCGACGAACTATCCCCGGTCGGTGTGCGACACGTACCAGTACTGAGAGCGAGGCATAGTTAAATGCGTTCGCTTCAGGAACGGCATCTTCATCTGTGGAGGTGTCTTTGATCTGCACCTGCTTTCTACCATGGCTAAGGCGTGCCAGGGAAAATGTGACGTCGACTGCTGTGGCCTCACCGTATTGAGTGAAGAGCTCCAGGTTACTCGCTGGCTCGAAACAATTTCGTAATTCCGCTCCAGGCTCCAGATCGTGGAGCCTCGATCGGACTTCTGTTGCCACAGACTCGATGAACGCATGACAAGCGGGGAGGGCTCAAACTTGTCCATTATGGACGAGGGGCGCCACACCCACCATCGGACCGCCGTCGACACCTTCATCTCCAACAATCAGAGCAGGTCCGGCAGTCGAATCATTGCCTCGCATTGCAACATGCCATTTTGGTGTCTTTGACTCCAGATTTGGGAGACATCATCCAACTTGGGGTTAGGTTCAAGGGCTGGGGTGCATGAGTATGAGATAAGCGCCGTCAAAGCAAACCATGTGTCCTGCATGATCCTCCCTGGCAAGGCTCAATCAGACAAAATAGTAGAACACTCTTTGTGCAGTTCAGCGTGTTCTGTTCAAAGACGCAGGCACACGAAAAAGAACGTGCACAGACGAGGCTCAACAAATTGAAGCCACGACGCATGCAAAAAGCAGTTCACTCGTCGACCGAGATGCGCAAGTGATCCAGAAGCGGCACCAACGCACCGCAAACCCCATCGGTCTGGATTGCTCTGCTCTCCACTAGGCAGAGGGCAAAAAGCACATCCTCCTCAGGGTGAACAATGCAAATCCTGCCAGAGGGCGTCGAGCAGGTCCCCCCCCGCCTCTGGCACAGAGATGTCCAGTCGCTCGCACAGCTTCGCTCGGCGACACTCCGCTTGCTCCTCACACAGGAAATGGCGATGGCCAGCACAAGCCAAAGAGTTGTCAGTCCTGCATCGCCAGCACCGCATTCTGTGCTCCATCGCAGGCCGACAGCCAGGAGATCTCGTCTTGCGTCCAGAACATGGGATGGTGGGAAAGATCCTTGTTTAGCAGAAAAAGCGGCGCAAGTGACGGGAGTGCAATGGAGTGCATACTCCGAGGCCAGCTCCCTGCGCCACAAGAAATCCACGTAGGGCGCGAAACTGGAAGAAGGCCCTGCGGAGTGTGGCGCATTGAGAGCTGGGCTGAGAAAGGATATCCGCCACGCCGCCACGCCTTTGGCTCTTTCCTTCAAGAGCTCGGCAGCGAGCAACTCCTCGATGTCACTGGAGGACGTCGCTCGGTCAGCTTGGATCCAAGCTTGCCGCGGCACCTCAAAGCTGAGCAGCTGAGATGACTTAATCTCTAACGGTCAGCGCTCATCAGCGCTCCGCTGCTCCGCTGCTCCGGCGCCTCTAAGACGATCCTTCCTTCTTTGACAGCGGCTTCTTGCTCGCTGCTCAGCTCGGGCTTCAGCCACACGCCTCAGCGCAGTGCAGCGCAGTGCAGCGCAGTGCAGCGCAGTGCAGATACGATCTAAGGCCTTGCTTTGGGGCAAGTTGCCGGACTTCTGCCCGAGCTCGATCAAGTCCATGCCGACGCAGCCCAGCTGCTTCAACCAGCTCCTGAAACGAAGGGAATCCTTGGCCCTACAGACTCCTAGACGCCGCTCTCTCGTTCGGAGATCCTCAGCTTGGCCTCCTTGGCGAAGCCGCCCTTCGGCCCACGCCTGGCCCGCTGCCTCAGAAACTTGGAAAGCGATGCTCTCAGGGCCCCCCCTGGATCCTCCTGGCATCCTCTGGCCTGGGCGGGGCGACGGCAAAGCCCGCAGCGGCACGGCGGACGTGGGGAACCCCTGCCCTGGAAGCAGGGGAGTCTGAAATGTGCATCCCGTGTCATGAGCCTCTGACTAGCCTCCGCCTTACCGCCCGCCGCCTTGACGCGATCCTTGCCGACTGGAAGTTCGAGGCATGTCGAGGCGATTCCGGTTTTGCTGTCGCCTCAAAGCCATGGCCGGCAAAGCCACGGCGATCGCCGCTCCATTCGAAGAACCTTCCACGACGGCATGTCGTGCTTACAATGCTGCTTCACGTGTCTTCAAGAGGCACAACTTTCGGATAAGTGATTCTTCTAGCTGCGCAACCCACATCCACGTTGACTCGGAAGTTGACTCTTGTCAGAGCGATCGCCTGATGCCCAGCCGGCTTGAAAGCCTCTGGCAGAACGGAGACTTCCTGAGCCTGGATCACGAAAGATCGAAGTTTGATCCCGACCCACTCAAGAAACCGTCCTTCTCTTGCGGGCGCCGCTCGAGGCTGTACAACCAGGCTCTGCATGCTCTGCATTATTCAGAAGGGTACGATTACGTGCTCGGCTGAAGCCGTGTGTACGCTCAGTTTCACTGATAGCCTCCGAAAGCATAAAGGACGTGTACTCCGCCTGCCGCCACTCGTGCAGTGCTTTCATGTGTTTTTGGCTGCTGAAGCTCTTGGCCGGACAGATTGTTCCTAGCAGCATGCATGGGCCACCTCCCTGCCACTGTGACACACTCCGCCTGTATTTTCGGCTGCTCTGCGTCATGCGCGGCGATGTGGCAGCATCGCTTGAAGCCGCACCTCACTTTGGGCACCACCTGCCTCGCTCGCGACTGGTGCAGGCACAGACGGAAGCTTGGCCTGGTTGCTGGCTTCTTGGAACCACGGCTCGTGTGACCGGAAGCAGCGCAAAGGAAAATCGAGATCTTCTTGGCATTTCGCGGTGATGACTTGTGAGACACAAACTGAGTTGTAGAGACTTGAGATACGCAATGAATGAGGCAGCGCACTCACCAAAGGAACGGCACAAGCTTGAACGGCACTTTCCTCGGCTCTTTCAATTGCGAGCGGTCCACATTCCCTGATCCTTCCGAAGTCGTCTATGCATTCTATTTACCTGAAACTAGCCGCGACTTCTCGACCAAGGGGCTTTGTGTAGCGGGTCCACTCCTCCGGCCGCGCCTCTTTCAAGGCCTCCTCTTCTTCGGCAAGCTTCAGCGCCAAAACGCCGGCCAAGGCCACCGTGAAAAGTGCCCGGACAGGGCTCAGGTTCGCCATGACGCAGGCGCCCGCGCACATGATGATGAAGCCTGTGTAGGTTGGAGATCTTACAACGGCGAAGGGGCCCGAAGTCGCCAATCGGCCGCTCTTATCCTCCATCGCTGCCGTGACGGTAACGATGGAGACCAAACCGATCAGGAATCCCACTATGCTGATGCCGAGACCAATCTTGAAAGTGGAGTCTGGCGAGAACAATATCTTTTCAAGGTCAAGCTGCTCAGTCGGATACTGCACGGGCAGAAATGACAACGCTACGCAGGCGCCCTGTGCCGGCAGGAAGGAGTCCCCTGCGCTGCTTGGAAAAGGCTTCACCTTAGCCTTCGCGGATTTGGCTTTTGTCATGCCCTTGCCCGGCTTTGACCTTGACTTGGGCTTCGCCTTTGTTTTCCTGGCACTGGTTGCCATGTCGAACATGCTAACCTGTTCTTGCTTCTTCCCTTTCGCAGGGGATGCGAAGGCCGGGAAGGAGAGCAGGCCAAGCCACAGCGAGGCACACAGGGTCACCAGAATGAGCGGAGGCGCTCTCCGAAATCGGTGACGGGCCATGGCGAGACAGGACAGTCCGGCAGGATCTAAAAGAGATGATACCTTGATTCCGCTATACTCTCGCGGCGATACAGACAGAGACGTTTGCGGCTCACCTGCACCGCAAGTGTTCGGCCTGCAGTCCGCCCAGCAGTTGTTTTTCGGATGCTGTTGCCTCTGCTTTTGCCGTGCTCGCCGAGCCGCCCAACAGCGTGGCGATGTCTCCGAAGACCTGGGCTCCCCTGACAGCTCCACTCTGGCTGCACAGATGCCTGCAGGCATGGGACAGAGGCGCCCATATCTCCAGGTCGGTCTTGCGCCCGGCATTGTGCCCTGCGCTCGGCGATCAGCAGAGGCGTCTCACCTCGACTGGAGGGTGGAACAAGCTGCTAGAGGCCCGTGGATACACAAATTACGGAGGCCTGCGGCATCTCTCAAATTTCGGTCGGCACCTGAAACAACCACTGCAATGCTGTACACCTTAGAATCTACATACACAGCTCCCTCCATCGCCTGCTTCCAGAAGCTTCAGAACGACGGTACGGTTACCATTCACCACGGCCCAGTGCAGAGCTGACCTGCCCCAACCATCCTTCGCCTCCAGCGGTCAGACAATCAGGAGATGTGAGGCTGAGCCGTTGAGCCACTTTGGGCGCTGAGCCCGAGACGTCGATCTTCAGGCCGAAGCCTCCACCGGAGGCTCTGGCACCGCGCGTCTTTCTCGTGACTGGCTCTGCCATGAGAAGGTTCAGAACAGCTCCGGGAGCACCAGATCTTGCCGCGAAGTGGAGCACGGTCTGCTTCTCGGTGCTTGTCGCATCGAGCTTGGCCCTTGCTGTGATCAGCAGAGTGAGTACTTCTTCGGACCCTCCTTGGGCAGCCAAGTGGATCGGTTGGACGCCGTTCTTGTCAGCAGAAGTCGGGGAGACTCGAGCTTCCAGCAGCAACCGAACCACCTCATCGCGGCCGTTCATGCACGCTGCATGCAGAGGTGTGCGAATACATGTGGCCGGCTCATGAACGTCGCTCCGGCGGAGGATGTTTCGAACTGCGCCAAGTGCCCCGACCCCAGCAGCTTGCTGCAGGATTTCTTGATACGAGGCCTGGCCCGTCTCAGACACCGAGCCGGCAGAGCCGGGTTCCTTGAAATCTGCTCCAACTGCCGACCGCTGAAGATGCACCAAGTAGTCCACCAAGTACGGTCTGCTGAGGAGATGTGCTGGCAGCCTCACTTCTTCAACGGTACAATCGATTACAATCGTAAGACTGCGAACGTGCTCAGGTCCGAATTGAAATACCACTTAGTGGGGGCTGGCGGGTGTGATAATCGCCCCATCTTTAGGCTGCAGTCTGAGATGTTGCTAGCCGCCTTTTGCTTTTGGAATTGCTTGAGACTTCGTGGAAGAGTAATCCAGTAATCGGGAAAGGATTCACCTGAGACGTCCACAGGCTACAGAGAGTCTTCAGCTTCGCCCTAGGACAACCTCTCATCATCTCTCACCTCCCTGCTTTGTAGCCATCACGGGAGACGGAGGTGCTCATGGGGACAATCGAATCGTTGCAGCTAACGCCGCTGTGATGTAATGAACATCTCTGCCTGCTGACCGTGAATCGGTCGTCTGAGGCCGCTGCAACGGCTCCGGCAAGAGCTCGCCGAAGGAGCCCAGCTCGTTTGCACTCCTGGCTTCAAAGGCCCTTCGAGCAGCAAACAAAAAGCATGCAACCGAAGCTTCAAAGGCGGATGTCCTCTTGGCCAAGCGCTGGCACACGCGCAGCGCAGCCAAGGAGTCCCCTCCCAAAGCCAGGAAGTGTGCCCTTGGGCTTCGAACTGGGACTCCAAGCACCTCCAAGTCCAAGCTTCAAGCACAATTCCCAACGCACAGAGGCACAGGCACTTGCTGGTGAGCCCACCTCGCTCCAGGCGGCAGCAATGCTAGCTGCGCCCCCAGACAGGTCTGCTTGATCTTCTGGGTCCTCGGGCAAGGCCCTTTGCGCCAAGTCCCTGCGTGAGACCTGGCACCGAGAACGCAGGGATACGGACTCCTGATATTCGTGCTTCTCTGAACTTCTCGAGCCTTCCCGGTACCAGTCATAGGGAGCGATGCCACCGCAATTACCACACTTGGGACCATGTGAGGAGGCAGCCGATCTTCTCCCAAACGTCGCAGCAGTGCACGGGACACTTCTTCGCAGTCTGCCGGCTGCTGTCCTTGCAGCTGTGCCACGGCTACGAAAGCCACCATGTCGGGTTCTGGGCAGCACTTGCGGCATGGGGAGGGCATCGATCAGCCCGGAAACTGCAAGTTTTCCTCATCCGGACACAGCAGGCCTTGCAGCACGCAGTACAGAACAAGTCGAGGACCTGGATGAGCCAGAACAGCAGCCGCCGCGGAAACGACCTCGGGCCTTGTTCGGTGCAGGCATCGGAAGGTCGTAAGGAGTACCCCAAAATTTTCGACAAGCCGCGCTGCAGCCAGCAGCACTTCCTCCACCTCTCCGAGCTCCACCCTCCGACCACGCAGTTTCCTTAGAGCTAGGAGACTCGCATGAAGCTCCGTCAACCTTCAGACTTCAGACCTTGAACCTTGCCCAGCTGAGGAGCACCATACCGTCGCGGCGTCCCAGCAGCTGCCAGCCCCCATCTGATCGACGGGACATCGCGATTAACAACAGAACAGAGATGGGCTGGCTTAGCGGTGGTGTAGATACATACATGTACAGATCTACATATGTACCCATGCAGATATATATATATATATATACATAGATACATAGGTAGAAAGATAGATACATAGATAGACTAGGTAGATATACATGTATGGGTAGTTGTCAAAATTATGGTCCCTAATTGGGTACCCTAAATATTAGGTGCCGTACTATATTTTGGACCCAAAAAGGACCCTAATTTTGGCAACCACCCATATGATACCCCAGAAACCCACCTCAGTTCTCCAACTGTACCCTAGAGACACCCAGGTCGGGGCGTCAACAAGGGCCCAAGCTGGGGAACCGAGACTCGCCCAAAAACTTGTCGGTTGCAATCTTGATTCTTGGCTGTTGGGGCCAATGCTATTAAGTGAGTAGACATGGCAAACGTTAATCCACACGCTGTGATTGGACCCTCCCGGAATCAACGCCACCTTTGCAGTAGGTTCCTGGGCTATGATGCGCACCGCAAGGTTTGTACCGGGCTTGTGAAACGAATATCAACCGGCTATCTAGGCAACTGGAAAGCACATAATGCAAAAACAAGCCTCTACTTAGATTTAGATAAACGTGTTTTCGGTGGAACTAAAGTTGGCAACCTCGAGGTCAGCTTGCGGACGTGGTGTTGTCATTCCAAGTCCCAGAACTGGGAGTTCCATGCATTTCTACGCAGCTTCAACCCCCCAGGGCAGTCTTGCACCGACATACACGGAATTGTCAAGTTTTGAAAATTTAATTGCATTTTCCCATCCATATAGTATCAAGCGGAGTCCGGCAAAACGTCGAAACGACAGTGCCGTAACCCTAAAGCCCCAGCCCTGCAGCTTCAAACCCAACCCGACCACCCACAACCACCACCCCTAACCGAATGATCCTAGCTTCAAGTATGAGGTCTCGAGGGGTGTCTTCGTTAGCGAAATCCTAAACCTCAAAAAATGAAAAAGTGCGCATCACGACACTGCAGCGGCAGCGGCGCCTCTGGCTGCAGCCAGGTCGCCGCCTTGTCAGCGCACGCCAGCTGTAACGTATAACGTTCTGGCCGCCCCGTTTCTGTGGCAACTCCCCGTTTCCACTGAGCTCCGGCACTTCGGAAGCAGCGGCCAAGTCCTGGGAAGTCGCGGAACCGCTCGGACGTCAGATCCGGACGCCTGGCGAAGGCTCCAAACACCGCCGTGGCTTCCCTGGTTCTTAGGAGTCGGGAGCCCTGCCTGACATATCCCAGACCGACCTGTGGACCAGCGATCCACAGCTCGCCGTGTTCGTTGCTACCGTCCTGGAGACTCAGAAATGACCGTGCAAATAGTAAGCCCGTCCTGCCTCGACGCAGGCCGTGGGATCGTCGCCTGGGGGTCTCGGGGTCTTCGGGACTTGGGGTCATGGGGTCGGAGAGAAGCGGAAGCCCCCGAGCCCCTGTCCTTTGCCAGCTGCAAGCAGCAGCCTTGTGCCCGGGAGCGCGGATCCCAGCAAGCGAGGGCTGCTCTTTGGCGTGAGCACTGCGGCTGCCTAAAAGCAGGCTTGCGGGAAGCCGGGAAGCCTGCTCAAGTTGGGCCTGTTGAAACTCAGGCGTGGGCCTGATAAACTGTGCACTCCGTGACACCATAGGTGTTGAGCAGACCTTCGGTCGATACGAGTGCATAGTGTCTGCAAGAGGCCGACTTTTTAGATGCGCACTGACGAGTAGGTTCTTGCTTCATCAGCTTAGTATGCCAATCAGCACGCTTTCCGAACAGACCGTTTGTTAGGAGTCTTGAGTGTCTACACACCAAAAACGTTGAGTGTTCAGGTTGTAAACTCTTTCTTGTGGAGAGCTTGGGTTATGTTCTTTCCACAAGCATACGGTGACCTCAACAAGACTTGCAGTAATCCTTAAGAGGGTGGCGGACGTCAGCAGCCCAAGCAAGGAGTGGCTGCGGCATCAGCTCGCCTGCAGGGGCCGCCAGTGCATCATGTTGACGGACTGCTAGCGGTCGGCTAAAGGCATGCCGCATGCCCACTCCTCCTAAGGCGACGACTCGCAAGTGTGGAGCAGCTGCCTGGCAAACCCGGATCCTATCGCCATCGCCGCCTCTCACACAGCTGAACAGCGAGGCCTCCATGGCGGCAAAATGCCCAGGAGTCGTTTGAATGTGGCTTGCCTGCGGCACAAAAGCAAGTAGCTAAGTAGCCCAGCTCCGCAGCAGCCCAGGACCCCCCGAGGTGCCTCAGTGTTGCTCACGCAGCTTCCGAGCGCTGCCTGCAGAAGCGCCCGTGGTACCAAGGCCACGGTGGCACCTGCCAGCCACGTGGCGAAGAAGTCGCCCAGAGACCTTGGAGCTTTCTCGGGCCGTTCCAACGCTGAAAACAAGCAATATCGTTACGCCGGTGGGGCAAACGGCGTCAAAGCAAAACATCCATAATTTGGCAGGTCTCCTCTTAGGACCGACCTGGACCGCCCTATGTTCCTGGATTCTGCTGCTCCTGGAGGTCCCGGGGGAATTTGAAATGTGAGTGCTACGAGTACGGTCCCCATGGCGATGGAGAGACGGGCTGGAGTGGTTGCGAGGGGCTTGGGGAGCACTTTCGATGCTGCATGGGAGGGCCCCCTACCAATGCAGCCCTAATTCATCCCATATTGCTGCGCATGGGTTGTCTGAAGCTTTGCCGTGCTACGCCTACATCCAAGAACCCCCTGAAGTCCCCATTGGGAGCAATGGAGCTTTGCTTGTCGAGCAGCGGGTCGAAAGTGTGCGCACTGGCGACCAAGACAATGCTGGACCTGTCGACCTGCCCAGGGCTACGCATACGCACACTCGAGAGCATCTCGTCATCCTCCTCGATTCAACGCTCACACAGAGACACAGACAGAAACAGGGAGTCAGAGATGCAAAGTCGGACTCTCTAGTCAGAAGAACGATCTGCCTTCTACGGTTAACTGCAGCTGACGGTACATGAAGGAAGCAAGTCAGCGGAAGCTACGGGACACGAGCGCTGCGTGTGCAGGTAGCTTTGCTTGCGCTGCTGAAGATCGAAGTGTATGCACAGCATGAACGCATGCGGGACCGCGGGACAGGGTGCGAGGGCACAGAGACGAGGGCTTGCGATCCGACCAGCCTGGTGGATGGTGTTCTTCGCCAAGCAGTATGTGATCAAGTTGTGGAAGCTGCACATGCAACCTTTAGGACGTCCGGTACTTCCCGACGTGAAAAAGATGTGAGATATCCGCTCTTCAACGACGTCAGCTGGCGGTCGACAGTCAGACGTCTCAGCCACCTGGACATGGAGTGCGGGTCCGCAACTACAGGCTGCAGGCAAGGACGACTGCAACATTCAAACCCAAACGATCAAAGGTCTGACCCAACCGCCTCGCTTCGCAAAAGCTCGGAATCTCGAAGAAGATTTGTTCCTCTGACCGGACCGCACGTGCAATTTGCCTCTTTGACTCAAGGGTTCGCTCCATACCCGACCTCTCTGCGCCTGCGGATACCCAGAACTTCCAGAATTCTGCAGCAGCATCTGGGCTTTCTCGACTTGAGGCTCGGCCACGACTAAGGCCAGCAGTGGTCCTGCATCCTTCAGTCAAAGCACAAGAGCAGAAGCGCGAGTCGTCCCCTCCCGACTCCTCGCTCAGGAGTCTGGGCCCTGGGCCTCCATGATGAACTGCAGACGAGGCAGTGGCTCTTCTGCATCCAGCGGCACCAAGGCGAAGCCGGCGAGCAGCACCGCGAGCTCAAGCACCGCGAGAGCCGGTCCGCCTCAAGGAGACCAAGTCTTGCAGCGCACGTCTCTGGACGCTTGCAGAGGGGCCTCCGAGCATAAGGCCGACTCGCTGAGGGGAGACATCCCCCACACCGGTGTTCGTCTCCGTCTCGTGCTGCGAGAGTGATCGGAGCACCTCGGCGGCCTGCGATGCCACCGTCCAGACCTCCTTGTAGCTCTGGTAGCTTTTTGCCTACAAGTGCAGATGGACCACAAGTTGAAACAAATCGCAAAAGCTTCATGCGACTTTCGTCGTGCCCAAGCAAGGGGAAAGATGTGCGACGCTTCCGAGGAAGTATGCTGGACTCTTTTGAATATCGCAACACTTTGAGACTTTGAGGCTGCCACCCTGCGCGCGTCGCTTGATGGCTCGTACCATAGCAATGCCGTGGCATCAGGTGCCTTCGTTGTCACCAGCGTCAACATAATTCTGTTCCAGTCTGTTGCATCCACACACACAAAAAAAAGACATTCTTTTTGTCATCTTCATTCTCCACATCTCTGGCCTCCTGTACGGCTGTGAAAATTCTTCTGAGGAGACCCTCCTCGGCCATTGCCGCAACATGGCATCTCCCAGCATCGTGCGCCGCGCGCGCTCTGTAGCTTCTGATCTATGCACTCATTGGACCTCCCGAACAAGAACACAAGCACCACCGAGTGCCAGCAGCACTACTAAGGTTCGAAATCCTGCTCTGCTGGGCTGCTATGCATCGGTACAACGCTGAGAGAACGATATGCACACTCAATGTAGCCTCGCACATGTGTCGCCATTGCCCTAGCCTAACACCCAGGGCTGCAAGCCGAAAGACTGCCCCGAATGAACAAGTGCATCTCAGCGATGTGGACGCGATTCGACAGGACATGGGCATTGCGGCCTGACTTTCGCAGCCTTGACATGAGATCAACAAAGCCTGTGGCTTCACCAAGGCTTCCAAACTCAAACGTCACCGCAGGGCGGCTACGACTTCTACCGCCCTCTCCGTCGGGGGAAGACGACACATTCACTACAGACTCCCGGTCTTCCCGGAAAATGGCGCTGAGAGGTTTTGCCCTCCTTCGCCCGCTGCGAGCGCCTTGCTACACATGTGCACCTCGCAAGATGTTGCTCACTTTGCTGAATCCACTCCGCAAATTGTGCGTCAGACCGTGGGATACTGACTGGATGCGACAAAGAGCAACCTCTTGCGCCCTGCACACCTGCTGATGGCTGACACACCAGGTTGGTTTATCTTGTAGAATCATTGTTCCCTCGATGCAATCGACTGAGGTTGTCAGCCGCGTGAGGCCGTCATCACTTTGTGCAGATAAGCTTGTATGAGCAGGACCGCAGATCTGTTCTGCTAAATGATTGGTTTCACTTGCTGACGAAAACTTCTGAGCTCTGGTCTGCACGTTCCACTATCTGAAACGGTGCCCAGACTTGGGGCACCAGATGTTCATTATCAGAGCAGTCGCCTCGACTGCAAAGGGCCCTGGGCCTGGCAGGAGACTCAGTCATGTCATGTCATGTGCAGGCTGATCCCACACCTGTGTAAAGTGCTATTGCGCGACAGCAGCAGCCTTGGCGAGCGCAGGCGGTGGAGCACGGGGTTCTCAAGCAGCAGGCAATCAAGAAAAGGCAACTGCCGGAAGAGCCATCAGCTTCTCGTCCAGCACTGAGGTGAGCTTCTCCTGCGCACGCGGATGTCATCAGAGGGTCCCTGCGTGTTCCATGGAGCGCAGGCAATGCCCATCCGTCTCCTCGAAGCTCCTGCCAAAACCGATCATGGGGATCCCAATTGGAGGTGTGATGCGACACGTTTCTCTGTGTCTCTGCCTCGCTAAGCTTTCTGCTGCTTTGTTCAGCCACTCCTGGCATTACCACGTGACGGATTGCGGCAGAACTGCGAGACAAGGCCCTACCAGGTACCCACCTCCTCCTCCGGTGTGAGCTTGTCGAGTGCCTGCACTGCAACTTTTGTTCTCTTGCCGCGGGAACTTCGGCATTTCGTTGCCTGGTCCCCGCTCCCGGACCTTGGGAGAGAGAACGGTCACGGGGGCGAAAGAACGAGCGGACTGCAGCTCCAAGGCTCGAGCTTCACTTTCTGCACCTTCGCGGGGCTACACTCAGCGGACGCGCTCTGAGGCCGATCTCCAGGACCCCGGCGGATGCCGAGCTCCCCTGAATGAGCTTGTCGACGGCCTTCAAAGACTGGTCCAATGCTGGTGCAGCGGTGCACATACGGCATGTGTGCAATGACACTGTGTAGCCATAATTGTCCTTGTATGTTTATGTCGACGGTTCTGGACTGTGCTTTTGCTGCACTGCTTCTTAAGCTACGACATTCTATCGTCAGGCCAACTCCATCCGCAGCCTCGTGCAGCGAATGCACTTCATCTGCGCAGCCGCCTCATTTACGCGGGGGGGCGGCATCCAGTCCGTGTGCAGGAAAAGCCAGCTCATTGCTGCGTCGAACCTTTCAGCATGTGTAAGCTGCCTGCTCAATACTCCAGTTAAGTCAACACGGTCTTCGACGCAGATGTCACTCCTGCAACTTTGTAGGAACCCAAGGGTAGCTCACGATCCCCTAGCGGTAGCGCCGGTTCCCACCTCAAATCTAGGTCTATGCTCTGCCGTCGGGACCACACCGCACCAGGACTGGAGTCTGGAGACGGCCTCATCTCGCGACCGAACGAAAACCTCACGACGACGTGCGCCGTTGGCATCAGTCCACAGGCTCAGTCGCCGACGGTCCGGCTGCAGCCTCTATGGCAGGAGCATGTGTAGCCGCAGTGTGGCCATGTACAACTGCGTAACACGGCAACTGACAAAGCGGCGATGCTCTGAGCTTCCGGCGCTCGGTGTTGACGCTGGCGACGATTCTGGAACTTGCCCGGGCATGGACTGAGCAATTGGAGCTGCGATTTTCGACTTAACTCAAAGCATTCAGCAGAGATCGACTTAACTTTGCGGTTGTGTCTCCAACTGGGCCCGGGACAAGTGTGTCCAAGCTCCTGGCCACATGTCTCTTTCTCCCTGTCTGCGGCTTGGCTTTATTTGCTACGGGCTACAGGGACCGGCAGTCGCGACCATCCATCATTTTCAATGGACTGGGGGGCTAGGATAACATCAGGTGCTTCCCGATTCCCCCAATTTTACAGCGAGCTCCCACAAAGACATGCTTGAGCATCTAGCGCTTAAGTGGATACAGTAGCAGGAGCGGCCCCCCAAACCAAGCTCACACGGCAGCAGGCAAAAAACGCAATCCTCACATCTGACATCTTGCAGGACCGGCTGTGAAGAGCTTGCATATTTGAAGCGCTTCGTCGTTCGCATCATCGAAAGTGTTTGCAAGGAAACAGCCCACAGATCCTCTCGAGCGGCCATGTTGAAAAAAAACCTAGGATCGGGTGCCTCTGCATGACCACCAGATCTTCCACTAGTATAAATAGCATAAGCACAACAAGTTGCGAAAGGAGATTCCCGACAACAACCATGGTAATAAAATGAAGGGATCTCATCGCATCTCGATTTTGCATTTTGCTTGGGGTGGCCTGCGGAATCCTGCACAGGGTCCCCCGGCTTCCCAGCGATTCTCCGGCTGTTCGCACTGGTTTCTTCGCTCTCTCTTGGCAGATGGATCACTAAGCGAGCTTGGAACAAGCCTCTCATGACGGACCCGAAACAAGTCGAGTGGAGTGGAAGGGTAGCACAAAGCCGTGCTGCCCTGATTACTGGTACAATCATGACACATCCGTCCTGACAGCAGCCGGCCGCGCGAAGATGCCGTGCCCAGCTTTGCAGTCAAAATACCTAGCACTAGCAAAGTGTCGGAGGCAACAGGGGTTCAGCCCACGAGCCTTTCACCCTGAATCGTGCCATCATTCTTGCCATCCGGTGTGTCCTGCAAGCATGTCATGTACTGGTGGCCGGCAGTCTGCACCAAGAACCCTCAAGAAACCCTCACTGAGTTTTAAGACGTCCAGCTCGACACCAATCCACGGACCAGCTGCAAACTGCGTCGTCCTCGTAGCAGTAGCACAACTAGCACTACCCTGCGAAGTACCTTCTTTCTCCCGTCTCCTTTCGTCTGCACATCTTCAAGACCCGGCGAGATTGACAACTGCTTTGTTCCCATGACCGGGCTTTCTGCCACCAAGGTGCCCGACAAACTTCACGGTTCCCGTGAATTGTCCAAGCGCCTTACCATCACCAATGCAGTGGGTGTCGCAAGCTTTTGCTGCGAAAATGGGAATCGAGGGCTTCGGATCAGGCATGCAGATTATTGCCCGGGACTGCTCTGCAGGTATTGCACCCACATTGACAGGCCTCGACCCGCGCACCGACTTTGAGACTGTCGGGGACCGTTTGAAGAAAGGAAGCCTGGCAAGCAAGGGGACAGCCCCAACATCTGAGAGGCTAGCAAGTACGAAACGCGAGTGTCACTGCAGAGTCCGACCCTCATAGGTTCGGCCATAGACCCAAGCTTCCACACCGCCCGCCCGGCCAAGGCCTGAGCCATGCAAACTCGTGCTGAAAAGAAGAAAGAGAAACTCTCAGAAGTGAATCTGCACCGAATCTTCTAGGAATCTTCTAGCCTTCTAGCAGCATTCTAGCAGTGCTGAGTCACCGGGCACGCTGCACCACACTCTCACACAGACGCTGGCACTCAGAAAAAAGAATGCGACTTTTGAGCCCATGGTGCAGCGGTTCCCAAATCACCCGTGCAAGGCTCCTTTGGGTTCCTACAAGTAGCTCCCTTCCGTCGGCAGAACAGCAACCGGCTTCAAAGTGTGCTGTGCCGATCGCGGCTACGAATTCCCGCACTCGCAAATGATCTTAGAAGTAGAGTGGCCCCAAAAAGGTTCCGCAGTCACCATCAGCATACCCATACATTTCTGCTCGCACGAACAGAGACCTTGTATTTGGGTCCTGATGCTTGACAATGGCTCAAGTGATGCTGCACAGGCAATGCTGCCCGACAGACATACGCTGAAGTTTGCGGCACGTGACACGTGACTCAGGCTCAACTTACTGCAGTTCTGCAAAAACGAGCACAAGCATGACGCCCGTGCCAGCGCTCTTTGACAAAGCAAGCATGTTTGAGACAATCGATCGGATTGAAAAAGGTGTCGCCATGTGCTGCGGCGTGTGCTAATCACTGCAGTCTATTACCGCGTGTTGCACATCCATCTCAGGACTCTGCCAGATTACCTGGACCATGGCCACGGACTTTCCTGACCGATGCTCACGTCTGCTGGATTCCGACGGGCTCAGAAACGGCAGACATTACAAGACGACGATGGGCAAGGTCAGACCAGCCGACATAACGTGTCGCTCCCCTGAAATATGATCTGCGAGGGTTGGCTTGCAGACCTTCCTTCCCTCCGCGACATTGACATCAAGTCAAAAGCCTTCGCTGACTGATTCGACGGACGCAGAAGTGTCCCTTGTCCAAGGCAACCGAAGTAGCCCGTTCGACAAGAAAGAAGTTTTCAACCCTGCACGAGGCTCAGCGTCGTGGGTGTGCCCGAGATTCTTATCGAGTCTCTCTGCCGCCCTTTCAGCGCACATGCTGGCGATGATGCACGATGCACTGATGCGTCCGAGCCATCTGGGTCTTTGGGTCGCGTACCGACGGAAGGAGACAAAGGGGTTCGAGACGTGCCTGCTTCTTGACCATACAGTAAGCCATCTGTGCAACTTCTGACTGCGCTCTTGAAAAACAGCATGGGGAGGACAAACACCGTTTAAACGCGAACTGGACAGTACAATCTGGCCTTGGCTTTCTTCTCTTGTCGCTGCTTTTGGATTTGAAAATCTATCCACGTCGGCCTTTGCAGCCAGATTTCAAAAGCCCGCAGGACACAAGCAAAACAAGAGACTAGGACTCTTGTTCTTGTGTAATACCAGTATCAGACCTCGGGAAATCAGCTGTCGTAAGCTGGGCACAGGTTCATGTTGACTGCCAGCGCCCACGTGTTGGCAAAGATGCCCAAGATGGCGATAACGACTAAGGAGACAAGAAACTCGGGCGATACCTAAGCGTCGGAGACATCAAAAATCTGTCTGTCGAAGAAGAGCTGCGACGCAATTGCTAGGCAAGCTTCGCCGAATGTGAGTGGCACCACTCCAAGGTAGGTGATGAGAGCCGTGAGGATGAGACCTCTGGACTCAGGAGTTGGGCGAAAGATGCTTCTCAGCTCCCAGTTTTTCATTCGTCGGCCCGGCCTGGAACCACAGTTCCCTCCACTGTCTCCTGCAAAGCAACAGCCTGCGCAATCCTTGACGGAAGCGACTGGGGGCGCTTTTCTCCTCCTCCGGCTTCGGCCCCCGGGACTGCCAATATCTTCGGGAAAGCCGCGAGGGCCCTTCCAAAGCCTCCATTGCGCACTGCACCCCCACTTCGAGGGACGAGTCGGGACGAGGCAGCTGGGACGACGACCGATCTCGAGTTGGCCGCACCAAGGGTTGCAGAGCCTGCTCGGCATCTACACGTCACGGCTTTATCCACAACGGTCTAGACTCTAGACTCTATAGACGCAACACAACGAGACCCAGGAGTGGACCTCCGACGAGGGTGAAACTGCAGGCCCGACAGGCGAAGAGCGCGCAGCCGAGTAGCACGAGGGCACCTGGGCACTGCCGCGAAGTAAGGTTGAGGTCGACCCGTGACCCGTGCTTTTCTCGGCCTCTTGTGGCTCGCAATCTTTGACGACCCACCAGCCCCACCATGGCACGGAAGTAATCTTCAGGCTCAGGCTCTGAATTGTGGCTACGACAAGTCGCTTGCAGTCGCTCACTGCATGGCATAGAAGGGAGGTGGCTTGGAGTAAGCTAGCCGTAAATCCTCCCGATGTCATTCCAGCTGTTGATGCTTCCAGAGCACAAAAAGAAAGAGAGACAGTCCGCAACCAGCTGTCCAGCAAGGAGGACAGAGAGAGGCAACACAGAGGGCTATCGAGGCAGTGCGGCATGTTTTCGACGCGCTAAGCGAGGTGAAGGTCCATGAGAGCCTGGCATTGCAGCACCACTGCATGCAGTGATTTCACTTTTCTGCAATTGGCATCCTACTTGCACTCTGCCACCTCCCTGTAGAGCTTTGCTTCCACGGGCTCTTGGACGTCTTCCTGGCAGTCTCATGGAATGAATTTGTTAGATCCACGAACATGCCTGTGGTGCAGCTCCACTGGCATGTTGACAAGACTCGGATCTGGACGTTTTTCCCACAAGTCAGATCATGCTTGGCCCAGGCAGCAGCCAAAAGTTAAGGATCGCTTCAACCCATCTTGACCAGATTGTTCATCAAGCGTGTCCGGTTCAATTGACAAGCGCTTCCAACTGGAGGTCCTTCTTCCAAGAAATTGAGCTGGGGCATCGCTGCACCTGGAGCAATTTCAAACAAAACAGACGCTCGAACCGGATGTGCTTTTTCTGCTAGCAAGAACCGCGCCTGAAGCTTCTCGTCACCGGGCGTAGACACTATACACTCCGTACTTTGCATGAAGCCCCCTGATGCACAACCGGTCATTAGCAAGTCTTGACATGGCTGCACCACCAGTGGCTTCAGAGCCTCTCCCCTGCTTCTGCAGCTGTCCGGAAGGGTCAAAATGCCAAGCCTTCGTGTAGGCAGTGTAGGCACAGGAAAGGAAGGCACGGCCATAACAGCGAGCGGCCTGTTGAAGCAATTTTCCGGAGATGTCGCAAACGAAGGTGGTGACCTTCCCACCGGATGCCTGGCAAAGCATTAGACAGCAAATCCAGCTTCGTCTGGTGCGACATTTCGGAAGCATGCCGAGAACACTCCATTTATGCACTGGTCTGTGTTCCAGGCACGCAGACCGCTACAACACCTTGACGGGCCGTGCTTGGGTTCGAAATCGCGCCCGCCGACTCATTGTCCTTCTATGACTCAGAGGGGATACTGACTCTGCCAGGCCCCGGACGACTTTCCAGTCTGGCTCAGGTCCTGAAAAGGTCTGTCAAGAGAAGAGGAGCGAGGACGCTCGGGCGGAGCTCGGGAGCTCCTTGTTGGCCCCGTGCCAGCGCTGGCGCTCGTCGTCTCCGGAGCATGGCCGAAGCACCTCATAGACTCATAGGACTTTATCATGGTCGAGCAGAGCCTGACAGGGCGTCGTTACACAGTTTGATGCGGTTGATACGAGCTGGCGTTTGCTCAGACTATAGTTTTATGCAGTTCTGCAAGGCTGAGTCCTCCACCGCAGTGCCCTTGCCATCTGGACTCGTCCTGAGCCATGCAAAACCACGCAGCACGAAGACGAAAACTTCCGTCCTTGCTTCCGTGCGCGCTTCTGAGCCCGCGGCCCAGCACCGCCCTCGTAGGTCAGGCACCGGCCTGCGGGTCGCAGTTTTTTTTCAATCTCCTGCTCCCACGAGAAAGCCGCTGCTGTCGCGTGCCGCCGTCACGCTCGATGCGGAAGGTCTCCGCTGGGATCAGTCCTCCGTCCTGATTTTTTTGACGAGGCCCAAGGCGACTCCTTCCTCTCCACGCTCCTCGTAGACGTGCTTGAAGCGGTTCATGAACCAGGCGAAGGACTTGCACCTAGAGACTCGCAAGTAAATAGTAAAGGCAGCAGGCTTCTTCGCTGATTTGAGACAAGCACCCTAAGCGGGTTTTTACCTCCAGGATGTTATCCAGGTTCCCGTACCTGCACCGAACAGTGTCAACCACGACCATGCCTGGTGCTTCCACAAGGTCACCACGGTGTGCCGTCTGCGTTTCTTCTCTCGTACTGCAAGCCCGGGAAGGACGAGAGCTTCTGAGAGAAGTCGCCGAACCTTCTTCAAGACTCACTGGATTTTGCAGATGCAGATAGAAAGCTTGGCACGAGGTGCACTGAGCGCATGCGCTTCCTGGTAGCCTTTCCAGCAAGACAGGCCACTGTTCTGCTGAGGTTCCCGCCAAGCCACAGCAGCTCGCAGTCTATTCCGTGCAGCGGCGCCTGTGCTCTCAATGTACCAAAACCACTCCGACATGTCTCTGCCACTATTGCAGTTGCTGATGCGACGATTGACTCGACTGGACCTTTTAAGGATCTTACGGTGCAACTACTATTGCAACTGCTACCGACCACGATGCCGACATGGACAAGGATGATGAAGAAAAGCTGGGCCACTTAGCAGTACGCGGAAGGCGGAAGGCTAGCTCAAGACGTTCACGCAACTCTGCTGTAAACGCTGGAGCAGAGACGAGGCAGTTTCGATTCCCGCAACTTCAGCTGACAAACCTTGAAGCGCGGGTCGTTTGCAGAGACCGTAAGAGTCCACAACTACTCCGACGGTGACGATGACAATCGAGCAGTACGGTGCCACGTGAGACTCTGCAACCAAGAAGAGAAGCGGCTGACAACCGCTTTCTTGCATGCTGTCTGTGACAAAACACAACAAAGCTTGCGCTGATTCATGATTCCTGCCTGGTTGGACTTTGTAGTGGGCCTTGGTTCGGGTATCCCTGGACGAGCGCCACATGTGGGCAACGAACGAGTCCTGTTGCAAGCAAGCGCGAGAAGCTGGAGAGCATCGTGTCTCCTGCGTGGATCCTGCCTGTGCCATCATGATCTCTCCGCCACAGAGCCAACTCCTACATGTGTTCATATGCATTTTCTAGCACTGAAAGAAGGCAGGAAGGCACCCGTCCTGAGGGACTGGTCGAGGTTCTCACCGCCCCATCCGACCATCTCGACGTCGTAGCCTTGCTTATCACATGTCTCTAAAAGCTCCAAGTTCTCTCACTGCCCCCTCGGCCCTTCCATGCCCCTCCTGCCTCCTGTTTCATTCCACCATCTCTTGCTGATGCCCAAGAGCCCGCCAGATAGGATGGGCACATACCTGAAACACGAGCTTGAGTCCCGTGACGGATGTCTTGAGATGCACTGCTGCTTAGCTTCAAGCGGATCGTCAGAAGTGAACCACTTGAAATCTGCATCCCAGGTCAAGTAGCACTTGGCCTGCGTCCGGATTTTTTTCTGAAAATGCTGCTTCTTCCACTGAAGATGCAGCCTGTCCCTGGTTGCCGCCCCTCTGCTGCCAGGTCCTACGATGACAATGTCAAACACCCCCGCCCCCGGTAAAGTGCAAGACTGCCAGCAGCCGGTCCCGACATCAAGGTCCGTTATCACCGGCGTCACTATTCGGCGGTAGTTTTCACCGATCAGCCTGCACAGACATGGCACATATAAGACACCTCGACTGACGCATTTCTGCCGGCTCAGGTTTCCTAAGTCACCTGTGTCGGAGTTTTAGTTCGGAGCACTCCTGACACAACTTTCTGGTAAAGTCGGTGGTCTTGGGTCTAAAGCTTACACTGTCTACACTCACTCACATCTACATGTTCCAGCCTGAGGAAGGACTCGTGCCAACCGGGCTGCGGAGCGACATGGCAATCGAAAAACACCACCTAAGTCTCCGACGTGGAAGGGAGCATTTTTTTGTTTCATCCTCCATGTGACTGGGGCCACAGCAATGTCACCGGTGGCAGCATCACCACCATCCTCGTGACAAGTGCTAAAGGCTTACTGCGGCTTACCGTAACCGACTCTCAGCTGCCGCCAGGCCTTCTTTGCACCAATGAGACCAACTGTTTGGGCCTAGAGCGGCAGAGTATCAACTCCAGATGACCGACACTCAGACGCAGCAAGTAGCAGAGGTAGCAGTCGGAGGCCCTAACATGGCGTATGATGGTGACCTTGTAGACATTGACCACATCGCGAGTCAAGAAAGACTCTGCCAGTGGTGGCTCTGATCCATCATCTACAACGATGATCTCATGCAAGATGTTCGCCGGCACGGACTCGTAGACTGCACGAACGGTGTTCAAGGCATACTGTCCCTGAGCAGCAGTCTTTGCCACGATTAGACGGCACACACAAGTTCTGGCGATCGGCACTCAGAAGGGGCTGAGTTTCGGTCCTCGCCAGCACATGGCAGTACGACAGATATCCGCTGCAACACCTCGTCGGTGGCTAAGTTGGCAATGCTGTCACCTCGGGTTCGTGAGCTTGCTGCCAGAGCCTCACTCGTACAAACGGAGAAGGCTTCCCTTGCGAGCTCTAGGTGAACCCTTCTGATTGAGTGCACGGCCGATGACACCCATTGCAGCTGCCGCTCCAGCATCTGAAACCTCTGGGCTGCTCGCTCTCCAGAGGATGATGAACCAAACCTCACAGCAATACGCACACTTTGTGTATTCCGTCTGATTCATCTGCTGCTGCTACTGTCTGCAGGATACGCGCAAAAACTCAGGGAACCCTGAATGCCTGCAGCAGCCACAAAACCGAAAGGCGCAGCAAGGCCGGCACCTTGGCTGTGGCGGGCGCACTCTAATGGATGCTTCTGGCAAATGTGTCTGAGCTGCGGCGCCCGCAAGCACGGCAGCAGCTTCTTGGCTCGATTGCCGAAGAGCTTGGCGCGGATCTGATCCAGCAAGAACAAGGAGCTGCGTCTAGAACAAGGAGCTGCGTCTGACGTGATGAATCTTGCGTCTTCCATTCTCCCGCCTTTGGCACCTCTAAGGGGGTCAGCAAGGCCGCCAGCAGCAGCGGGATAAGGTGAAAACAACCTAACAGCAAGCTCATGGACGGCACCAGCCATATAAGGCCAACCCGGATGGTGTACTTCGGCACAGCACCTCGGATGCCGCAGGCTCCGTCCCCCATCTTCCGCTCGATACATGAGTGTTGCCCGACAATCGATGACTCACCATGCACGACGGAAAAAGATCGCTTCCGCGCAGCCTTCCGCACTCTTCCCCAAGAGCTTTCGGAGTTCCGCGCTAATCATTGGCCGAGGTATGGGCTGAGGTTCGCAAGATGGACGTTAAGTTTCACAGGATCTTTCGTGCAACTTCCACCACACCCGCGCTGGAGACCGCTTTGGCCCACGGCAGTCAAGTAATGGTATTTGTAGTTGTGGTAGCAGTAGTCGTCGTAGTAGTAGTAGTAGCAGCAGTAGCAGCAGCAGTAGCAGTAGCAGTAGCAGTAGCAGTAGCAGCAGCAGTAGCAGTAGCAGTAGCAGTAGCAGTAAGTGTCTCGGCCCGAACGGTTTTTACAGTCTCCTCTCCTGGGGGGTTGCTTGGTGCATGGTCCTTGCTTCTGGGTGACTGCACCGCGTAGATGCATACTGCTGTTTGGGAAGCTGCTCGGACAGATTGTCTTTCTTGGCTGTCCTCTTACGGGGCCTTCGGGCCGGGGGCATGCCAAGATCGATTGCTCAGTCATCATCGACGCACAGCAGCAATGTGGCCTCTTCGTCAGCTGGGGTTGCCAGCAGTTCTAGTGATGGTGCTGGTGGTGACAACCGAGATGAAGCTGCAGCAGCGGCGGCTCGGGAAGCTGAGCGTAAAGCTGCCACAGAGAGGCGCCATCTTCTGGACCAGGTTGCACGCCGAGCACTCTTTGAGCTCTGTATGTTATTCTGGGAAGCCCACGTCAAGTTTCGGGTTTCAGACGGAAGAGCAGTCAGAGCGAGAGTGGATGCACAGCGACGCAACTGGCAGCATCTTGAACCCGGAGATGTATATGCCATCCTGGCGCCACAGATGGAACAGCAGGAGTTCGAAAGGCTACATGAGGAGTATGGATTTTTGGGAGGACTCTTTGACCAAGGAGTGCGAGAAAACGATGAAAGTTGGATATGCTCCACCGGAGCCTCTGCCGATCCTCCGAAGCATTTATACTTCCAGCACCTCAGCCGATTGGCCCAGCCAAACTTGCAGAGGGGCATTGTGGGACACCGAGCCCGTACGCTCATGGCCCGGCTCTTGGAGCTACTGGAGAACAAACTGTATGTCCCTGCCATGTATGCCCTATTCCCTCTGCTCGGAACGGATGGACAACGTACCTTCCAGCAGTGGTTTGTTCGGTACTCACTGGGAATTCTTCCCGATGACGCCGACCTGCCAGATGAGGTTCAGCCAGCCGCAGCGCGAACATCCAGTGGAGCAGCCGGCTCCAGCACGGACTGATCTGGGAAAGCACCTGCGACCGACTCGGCCTAAATGGAAGGCCAGCGGATCGCGACGGCGACGTGCTCGAGGCCCCGGCCTGCCGGCACAAATTGCCCTACTCTGCCTCCTCGCTCGACTGCTGAGTCCTGGGCTTCTGATCGGTGAGTTTTTCTGTACAGTTCTTTTGCGCCTAGGCAACGTAGGCTTGTCAAAGTTCGGTGGCACTGCCTCACACTGCCCACCTACTCACCCTGAGCACCAACCTTACAAAACCCCTAGGAACCCTAACAATGGCCGCCTTGGTCCCAAGTCCAAGGGTAGCTTTGGTAACTGGCTTCGTCTTCTGCTTTTCTGGATTACCATATTTTACACTTTGCAGTTAGGACTAGCCGCCAGAGCTACAGACACGAGGGTTGAGAGCAATCCACGCCTGGAACTCTCTGAAGTCCCGGAAACCCGCAACGATAGACTTCAGGGTCAGACGAACCCCAACGGCGACAACCCATCAGTGCCAAGGAAGCCTGCCATAAAGAGGGCCTTTCGCAGAGCCCAGAAAAGGGCTGCCATGCATGGCGGCACCAAGTACAGAGGCAAATGGTTCAGTGCACAGCAGTTAGGCACCCAACATGAAGAACGACCTCCTAAGGAACGTAAACCTGTGAAGCCCAAAACCGCCCCACAACGACTACATTTTCTCTCTTGGAACGCCTCAGGTCTCACCCGGGATAGGCATGCAGAAGTGCAACAGTGGTTGACACTGCCGGAGGCTGCGCATATCCAGCTAGCTGTCATACAGGAAACGCACTGGCGGAATGCACTTGAATATCAAACTGGACGCTTCTCTGCTGTACACAGCGGAGGAACTAAGTCTGAAGCGGGCCTTTTGGCCCTGATCGATCGTACCCAGCATCCCCCTCACAGCGTATTCTACGAAGATGTCATTCCTGGTAGATTGCTGCACATCCGCCTTACAGCCACTGAGCCTTGCACTGACGTAATTGCTCTTTATCAACATGCGTGGTCCATTGCCAAAAACAAACAAGCCCACGAACGTAGTAAGGACATTCTCCTGGCTAAAAGGGCAGAGGTCTGGGCCAAGCTTGTCACCCTATTGAACAGCATACCAAAGCGTAACCAACTGTTGCTTTTGGGAGACTTTAACTGTAGTCTGCAACCCCATCAAAACTTAGTAGGACATGGTGTTGCGAAGCACATTAGCGCGCATGCCAGTGATGCAAGTATGCTACAATCCGCACTAGAACAGTTTGACCTGGTTGCCCTGAACACCTGGTCCTGGCAAGGGCGACGCTCTTGCACGTACCTGCCCGCCTCGGACAAAGGTCACAGCCAAATTGACTTCGCAATGGTCAATCGACAGCAGTGTGATCAAGAGGCTAGGCAAACCAAGCCTGTGACTTTGCCCTTTGTCCCGGTGACTGGCATGCGTCACTTGCCCTTAGTGGGAAGCATACCTCTACCTCATAGGCCGCCTTGCCCTACGACACCCCCGCCAATTCCTAGGAAAACTGTAGTTGATCTTCAGCGAAAAGACCCGCACATTATGACCAAGTTTAAGTTTGCACTTGAATCTTTACAGCAAAATACAAGAGCTTCATCTCCGGATCATCTTATCACCGAAGCTTGGAAGTTAGCTCGTGCCCAGAGTGTAGAAACTAGACACAGAGTCCGCCCACCCGACCTGGCTATGCCTGACCTTAAATCGCCCACCATCACCGCTCTCTGGCAGTGGCGAGCTCGAGTGTCACGCATGCAGCAGCGAGGTGGCTTGCGATGTCACATGCGTCTGTGGCTAGCACACGCCAGGCTACAAAGACTACAGAAACACCTACGCACCGCATGTAGACAACATAAAAAGATGGTGGTAACGCAACTGTTGCAAGACGCCGCTGCGCAGCCTCAGAGCCTCACTTGCGTTTTCCGTTTGCTGCGAGTGTTGGCGCCGCCTGCGCCCAGACGGAAGCTTCAAATACGTACTGCCAAGGGTTTACCATGTAGTCCTTTAGAGAGCCTTGGGTGTATACGCGACTACTTCCACGAGCCTTATCATACAGTGTCAAGATCCGATGAGCCACACTTTTCTCTAACCCCGCCCTCTACGCCATTACAGTTTTCACCTGAAGAAGTGACAGCTGCCCTCAAAGGCCTTCCGTCGGGCAAAGCGGTGCCTGCTTCACTCCCACCGGCGGTGCTGTGGAAAGAGGCGGCCGACTTGATGGCGCCTGACATTGCAGTGCAAATTAACAGCTGGCTGGCTGATATGCGACACCCCCCGCCTGATGGTTGGCACATTGCTGACATCTTTCTCTTACTAAAGCCCGGCAAACCACCGAGTCCCTCATCCCTAAGACCCATCTCCCTTTTGCATCCAGTTGCCAAAGCAATCGCTGTTATTCTCAAGCAGAGACTGCAGCCAGCAGCGGACGCGCTCTTGTCGGAGTTGCCTCAATTCGCCTACCTGCAGAACAGATCGGCTCAGGATGCGCTGGATCGAGCGTTCACGCACTGCTGCCACGTTCAGTCGATTCTGCGCGCGCAGACAGCCACACCACAAACCCGATACCAGGGGCACACCGTCCTGCCCTGCAGAGGTGGCATCACATTAAGTGTAGATCTGCGACAAGCGTTTGACCTAATGCCCCGAGCCCATCTCTTGACGGCCCTACAAAACTCCAAAGCCGATCCAGCGCTGGTGTGGACAATAATGTCCCTGCACTCGCATGCGCAAATGCAATTTTCCTTCGGTCCGCACAAAACCACCATTGACATAGAGAATGGTATACGCCAAGGGTGTGGGCTTGCACCCACCCTGTGGTCCATGTTTACTGCGGTGGTCATGGTTCGCCTTCTGGAACAGCTTACGCCAGAGGAACTGTCAGCGTTTGCCGACGACTGGCTCTTTCAATGGGTCATCAATAAGCCAGAGGATGTAGTTAGAGCGGTGCGATTGGTCGGTTTTGTGCTGGATGTTTTGCATGAATTTGGGATGCAGCCGAGCTTGGACAAAACAGTCATACTTATCAAGCTTAAAGGCAGCCAAGCCAACCGAATCATCAAGGAACATGTGTCTGGCAAGCTTGGCAAAGGCAGGGTCATCAAGATTGCGACCGAATCCGGACAAGTAGAGCTTCCTGTAGTTGAACAGCACACCTATCTGGGCTGTCAGCTGAGCTACACCTGCTCTGAACTTCTTACGATCAAACATAGGGTTCGGCAATCTTGGAACGTCTTTAACCGACTCCTGCCTTCACTGCGCAGCGTCGGCCTTACTCGTGCCCTCAAGTTGGAGGTTTGGCGTGCATGTGCATATGCCAGTTTGATGTATGGACTGGATTGTGTTGTGTCCTCGGGGGCTGGTTCGGTTCTTATCAGCAAAACTGTAGCTAGGCAGCTGCGGATGGTCATCAAAGAACCTGTACATCTTACCAGGGAGCCTGCACAAGTACTTTTTGATAAGCTTTCAGTCATGGACCCCCTTAAGGATCTTGCCCAAAGGGCATTACGGAGACTGCACAATTGCCGTTGCGGTGTCATGGTGTGCCTGCAACCTGCGCGGGTTCAGTCCAGATGGCAGACCCTGGACCATTACTTCTCACAACAAACACAAGACACGCAGGCGTCCGTTCTTCCAATGCTGTCACACCCGGCTGACACCCAGGCGCATCTAGTTGCAATAGCACATCATGTGGAGCCACAGGCATGTCCGCACTGCGGGCTCTACTTTGATTCCCTCAAAGCAGTCAGAGTTCATTGCGCACTAAAACATCCCAAGCCCGAAACAGACGAAGTTGCAGTAAGCCTACCCCCGCCAAAGCGTACACAACAACAGATGCGTACTGATTACATGTGTCATGCCCTGAATGGCCTTCCCACTTGTAAGCACTGCCAGTGGAACTTCACTTCCTGGCCGTCCTTCTGTCAGCACTTTGAGCGCAAGTGTTGCTCGGTGCTACACAGTCAGTCACAGCAGGCATCGGACAAAATGGAAAGTTCAGCAGCGTCAAATGCATCCGTGCCATCCCTATCTACTCGGATTTGCACACCTTCGGATCCTGCAGTCACGGCCATTGCTTCCCTGAGTGACCTATGGTGCCTGCTGTCAGCCGATCTCGTTCAGCCTTTGTCGCATACGGATTGGAGGTCAGTTGCGAAGCACTTTAGGGCGAGCGATCAGAACCACTGCATGCTTTGCAATCAGTGGCTTGCAAAGCCCAACTATCTCACGAGGCATGTCAGTGTGCAACATCCTGCTTTGCGCACCGTCCTCAAGGAGCTGCCGAGCTGGCTAGCAGAGCGTAGAGCCACAGTCTTCAGCCCGTGTCAGTGGTGCCGCCAGGACTTCAGTGTGCATCACCACAGCAGGGCTAAGCATGTGCAGTCCTGTCCCACACTCATCCGGACAGGCCTCTTAATCCTTATGCACAAAGCCTTTCAAGCCTCGCAGGAAACTAATGGCCGGCATGGAGGCGGAACTGCAGGACGAGCCCGGGACGGAGCTGTTGTCTGCCCAGAAGCAGATGGCGATGATCCAGAGCATGGCCAAGGCCAACCCCACCGGCAACCTGGGAGCGGGAGCGCAGCAAGTTCAGCAGGAGGAGGAACGCCAGAACACCTCGGAGCCTTCAGCCCCCTCAGCGCCGACGCCGTCGCAAATGGACACCAGCAACCGGGACCACAAGCGCGGCTACCACACCGAGCAGCAGAAGGAGACCCTATCCGGCAACGGCAACGGTCACGGAAAGGGCCCCAACAAGTGGCCGAAGACGAACTACAAAGGGGGACACTCCACCGATGGTTCCGGCTGGGGAAGCCACAAGAACGACTACTGGAGCAAGCAGTCATGGGACAAGGGCCAGGACAAGGAAACGGCCCAACTGGCCAAGCTCTGCACCTCGATGGCTCGCCTCGTTCTTCGTCACGAGGACCAACAGTCGATCGACCGCTCGGAGAAGGGATTTATTCTTTTCTGCCAAGCGAAGGGACTCCTCTCCATTGTCCCGGATTTGAAGAGGACGGCAGAAGCCTGGACGCAGCAGAAGGAGCAGACACCGGAGCAACTCACGCTCCCCATGCGGTCAGCTCTCCTGCACCAGCTCGTGGAGGTCTGGTACACCAGGATGGAGGCGGTTCCCCAGACGGAGGAATCGCGCCAGAATGCCCGGGAAATGCTTATCCTGGACAGCTCCGGCAACGTACCCTATCTCCAGTACAACCGGGAGGAGCAGAAGCTCGAGATCAAGAAGGACCGCGACCCAATGACACTGGAGCGCACCCTCGAAATGCTCCTGGAGCTCAAGGACCTGGTGTTGCTGCCGCTGACCACGCTGCGGTTCCACGCGGCCCGACGCAGGGCCTTGCAGAATCCCGGGGAGATCGTTCCCATGATGCTGGAGGTGGGCCTCCGGACTTCGGAGGCGGATCGGGCATGGAACATCCTGGCTCGACTGAGCCACAGTGGAGCCTGCAGAGCAGTGGCGCTGAGCATGCGCCAAGAACGCCTGGGCCGCTCCATGCTCGCCCAGAACCTGCAGAAGATTCTCGAGGAACTGTCAGGAGCCTAGCACTAGGGAACACCAGTAACTTCTGCTACAGCAATGCCTCCTTTCTTGCCATTGCCTGGGTGCACTGTTTGCTTATGCAAGGGATGACTCGGAGCTCTAGTGAGGGCCTGCTTGGCACGCGCCTGCTTGCGGTTCTTGCAAGCCTCAAACGGAGGAAAGGTGTTATTCATCTATGGCAGCAAATATCTTGGAGAGCAATCCACATAGGCTGGCAGTCTCCCACGCAACAGCATGACATAGTTGACTATCTTCGGTTCCTCCGACCTTCGCTGCTTTCGGATGCAGTTGAATGCCACTGGGAGTCACGACTGGAGCAAGATAACCAAATTCTTAAGATTGAAGATGGTAATACTTGGCCTTTGTGGTTGCCTGATCCCTTAAGACCCACTTCACTGCCCCACATTAGCCTACAAAGCCTAGTCGATGCATGGCACCAGCATCAGGAAGGGCGACAAGGCTTGCTTAGTGTTCCGCCTGTCTTGCTGCTACAGGTCAATCGTTTTGGCGTAGGTCACCCCGACTCCTTAGGTAAAACCTCTGCTAGGGTAGTTCCCGAACCACGGGTTGTAATTCCCAAATTCCAGAACGATCTGCGGCAGCCCAATGCGCTGGAAGTTGAGCTGGTCTCCTTCCGACTTGCAGCAGCATTGATGCATGAAGGCTCCGATGCGAGCTCGGGGCACTATAGGGCGGTGCTGTTTGACAGCAGCATGCAACTTCTCACTCAGGACACTGTACCCGCAAGCCGCATCTGCAGCGAGACTCAGTGGTCTCACATTTATACCAATTGTTATGCCTTTCTGTATGTGCACTGCCCTGATGCCACTAGTCCCTAATTTGGGTTAGAAGTGCCCCAGTCTGTGCCAATGCCGAACAGCATAGTCAGGTCATTCCTCACACTTGTACAGTTGTGTGTGATTTTTTGCTCAACGTACTCCGGCACTCTACACAGACCACGGCGCTCTCTTCTTTGGGGCCCTCGGGCCGGGAGAGCGTCGTAGAACATTTTGGACTTCACAGAAGGTGGAGTGCGCGAAAGCGCCGGGATGCAGATCCTGCCCCAAAACTTGGACCGCCAAGCGAGACATCTTCTTGCTGCGTTCGGAAGAAAAGCAGTAGCAGTAGCAGTAGCAGTAGTAGCAGTAGCAGTAGCAATAGCAGTAGCAGTACGAGTAGCAGTAGCAGTAGCAGTAGTCGTAGTAGTCATAGTAGTAGTCATAGTAGTAGTCATAGTAGTAGTAGTAGTAGCAGTAGTAGTAGTAGTCGTCGTCGTCGTCGTCGTCGTCGTCGTCGCAGTCGTAGTCGTAGTCGTAGTCGTAGTCGTAGTCGTAGTCGTAGTCGTAGTCGTAGTCGTAGTCGTAGTAGTAGTAGTAGTAGTAGTAGTAGTAGTAGTAGTAGTAGTAGTAGTGATAGTGGTAGTAGCAGCAGCAGTAGCAGCAGGAGAAGTAGTAGTAGTAGTAGTAGTAGTAGTAGTAGTAGCCGTAGTAGTAGTAGTAGTAGTAGTAGTAGTAGCAGCAGTAGTAGTAGTAGTTGTTGTTGTAGTAGTAGTAGTAGTAGTAGTCAGCAGTGGGTGTAGTAGTGGCAGTAGAAGCTTTTGGCTGCAAAGCCTTCAGTTCAGACTTCCGTGCCCTTCCGAGCGCGGATGAATTCGAAAGCTTCTCGGCACCTCATGGTGACAATCCGGCTCTGGACCAAGATAACACAGAGGGGCTGCATACGAGGATAATACGAAACGATAGTGAAACGTTTCACATTTATACCTGAGGACTTGGTGTTCTGGAGGGCCAAATCAGGCAGCTGCTGTGCAAGCTTGCGAGACACCACGAAACCTTGCATAACATAGTGAGCGGCCTTGAGTGAAAAGTGAAAGCCGGTTTGAGTACCTTTAGACCTGGGCACTCTTGGGCGGCATCCCGAAGCAAAGTGGCTTATGGCCGAATTCTGGACATTGCTACTTGTGATGCTTGTTAGTCAGTCACCTGCATTCGGAGCACAAGAAAGGACGGTTCTGTAGCAAAGATCTGAAGCTGTGGGTCGACAATGCAGCAGGTCTAAAACTGATTCACGCTGCCTAGTTCCACGATCAGACGGATTGAACAGAAAAGGTGCGTAGGATTGAATCTCCTAAGCTTGGCTGCAAGGGAAGCTGTGCTTCAACCTACGGAGCCAAACGGCCGAACGGAGCAAACGTGGACTCCCAGACTGGCTTGATTGGCTTGGCTTCCCTCAGTCGCACTTTCCGCACGAACACTTTCCCGAGTTCTTCCGGCTCCAGGCAAGTTCGTGGAAGAACTTCGTTTACATCCAGCAGGTTGTGCTTCTGCACCGATCGCCGCGCAGGCAATGGCCGTTAGAAGCTTGCGATGTGGCACCCAGGTTCTTCAGTTCCATCTGTGGTGGCCTCACTGGATAGCGTGCGTATAGGTGTTCAGCTTCCTGCAGTAGGTGGGAGGACGCCTTCTGAAGCTCTTTGTTTCGTACGACTTATTTAATTTAGACGGTCGTGTTAGCCAAAGTATTTTCTGTAGTCCTGGCCGTGTTCACAACGGCGTCCTCTGCAGTCTTAATGACAGCATTTGCATCGTCGTTGATCTCCTCAACCACGGCCTCTGCACGGTCCACCGCTACTTCCGGGCCTCCTCCGGGCCAGGGTGGGCTGTAGGGTGTCCTTTCCTCCGGTGGCACCCAACCATAGTTGTAATTTGCCTCACCTGGGCGAGGCGGAATTGGCTGGACAGGAGGTGCAGTGCTGGGAGGAGGCCAGAAAGGCCCCTGCGGAGTCGTGCCTGGGATTTCTTTGGGCAGCGAGTCTCGCTCCTCCTTCTCATAAGCAGCCTCAATGGCTTTTTTGCTGAGCTGATCCTTGAGGATTTTCTTTGCCTCTGGAGGAAGTAATTTCTCCTCATTCGCCACGTCGTCATCTTCGAAGGTGCCAACCGGATCCTTAGACGGGGCGGTGGGCTTCGTCGGCAGCTCAACGATAATTCCCGGCTTAGGTTCGAAGGGCTCCTCTTCCGGGAAGGGACCTGGGCCCTTTTTGGGCTTCAGTCGCTTGGAAGGTGCTGGAGCCGGTGCGAAATCATTCTCCAGCTCTCCTGGCGGAATCGGAGGATCTCGAGCCGGACGTCTGGGCGTGCGCCTTCGCGGAGGCGTTGCCGGAGCTGTGAACGGAACCTCCGGTTTCTCCGTTCTTGCCTTCATCTGGTCCTGCCGGGCTTCAGCTGCCGGCTTCTCCCAGGCCGACTTTGAGGACGACCTGGAAGCTCCGTGTACAGCTGCCGCCGCACCCCCGGCTGCTGCTGCCCTGCGTGTTGCAGGGGAAGGTCGTCGAGGGTGGTCCTCGGATCTATTTCTTGGTCTTGGTTTGCGTCGTCCCGGTGGCTGTTCAGGCGGTCCTGATGGCTGCTCTTCCTCAGGTTCTGGTTCTTCCGGCGGAAACCAGGTTTTCTTTAGTGGCTTCAGCTTCCTGCAGAACCCATGAGTTCGTGTGCCATAGCCTGGCATCCACTTTGGACACTTCGAATTCCAAGGCTTTATCTTTTGACTGAAAGGATCGTCGTCGCCTCCAAACAAGAAGGATGAGGCGGCAGTTCTTCTTCGCAGCATGGATGCTATTGCGTGAATGTCAGCACACAGCAAGTGTCCCCGAGCTCTCGCAGAAAAACCACCATCTGAATGAAAAGTCTGCCAATCCGAATCCTGGAGGTGCCTCGGCATCCCATGCCTTCAGCTCGAAGCTACAGTCAAGGGGACTGGAAACACCATCTTCGTGCCGAGCACTGCAGGCCATTCCAAAGTGTCGCGTGCTTCGGCAGCAACTGGGCTATCACATTGCCAAAGTCGTCATCAGCTGTTTTAATCCACGACATCAAGCAGAAGTTTAGGCTCGATGATTTTATGTACACCGTCCACACCTTGCCCGGCAATTTCACCAAGCATCGGGTGCAGACACACAGCTACGACGTGCGTTCAGCTTTGGACAGCACTTTGTAGTCTGCAAAAGTCCGCATGGGCAAGTGCCGCACGGCAAGCCTCGATGCGTCGTCTTTCCTAAGTTTGACCAGTTCTTGCAAGCTACAATTCTGCAGGATCGAAGCCGAGGCAATGCAACAAGGCTCGCAGCAGAGGATGCAAGGGCGTTGCGCAGGTCTTCTGGCAGCCCAAGCGTCCTGACTGCATGACTCAGATTCACGAGAAGGCACTGCAGCATTGCCGACTGAGGACACAGCACATCGTGCTGCTTTCCGTCTTTGTCTTTGAAAGCAAGGCGATGACGGTGCAGGAATGTTCGGCAGCACCACTCCTCTGAATGTCAAACAGAAAACTAATTAGATCTAATTAGCAGCCACAAGTACCGTCAAGCTTCCACCCAGAGTATGAGCCACCTTGTCCGTGGAATATGTGGGCTGCGCAGTGTAGAGCCAGTCGCACACCACCGCGTGGCCCACGTGCGACGTCTGGGCTCGGATTTGATGTCCTTGTTCGTCAGTTTAGCATAAGCCCTAGCTAGGATGCTTTGGGCGGCTACTGGGGCCATAGCCACCCTCGTCCCAGCTCCTTGCGGCAGAGGTGCGCCTGCCAGTGTCGATCTTCATCGTCAGCAGACTGGTAGACTGCCGTGGCCCGAGATGGGCAAGAACCTGGCACAAGGGGCACTGCTCGCCGATCGCTTGTCTGCTCTTCCAAATCACACTTCGAGGCTCTGGCCTTCAGGTGGCTGAGGCTGAATCGTGCACCAGGCACTGCCACTTGGCTTGGGCGGCTTTCCGAATCCTTGACACTCTGCGCCACACGCGTTGGCTATTTCTCACTGAGGTGCAGCTCAAAGAGAGCCGCGCAACCTTTCCCACATAGACCGGCAAGAGCAGGGAGATGCGAGCGGGTGAGACCAGACCATGCACCAGTACCAAGTACTCCCGGTCAATCTCGCGCCGCAGGAGCTGCAAGTCCTTGGTTGCGAAATCAGCAGCCAGGCACTCGAAGATCAGCCACGAAACCGCAAGTACTCTTGAGGCCTTGCCCGACATCTGACTTGTCAGGCGCTCAGCGCAGCAAAACAATGGCAAAACATGCAACCCGGCTGCTAGGTCGTGGTAGGCCACATAGCTCTTCGCGTGCAGAACCAGGCCAGATGTGGAAACCTTACGATGCGTGAGTCAAGATGTTGGCCAGACAGGAGAAAAGCACAGACCAAAATGTATCATGCCGTTACAATGCCGTTCTTCGATACGACAAGTTGAGTAAAAATTTGCATCGTCGCCACTAGAACAAGGGGAAGGTGACCGAGCATCTGGACGGTGCTTTCCGAGCCACATCCAAACGGTGCAGGAAGCCGTAGGAACTGTACCCATCGTGCAGAATGGGGAGCTTCTGCGGCACAGTCCATTGCACGAAAGCCTCTTGGACACTTTTGCTTTGGCCAAGCATCGGTTGCACCCCCATCTTCCCAAATCGTCCCGACTCACACCTTCTTTAAGGGACTGGCTGAGAGCTGGTGGTGCCCAAGCTCACCGGAACCCTGCACCTCCCAACCGGGGGGCTTGTAGATCACCTCAGAAATGGAAACTGGCTGCAGTTAACAGTTGCGCCGCGCACATGCGAGCGTACAGAAGTTGCACAGATCATGCCAAGTCTCCGATCGATCAGAGAGATCCAGTTCGAAGCCTAAGGGCAGACTGCGACTACATGTGGCTGTCACACGGTTGAAGGACTGGTCACCAAGCTCCTGAAAAGAAGGGGGAGTAAGGATGATACTACAGCCGCCTTCATTATCACCAGTAAATCATGATGACGAGGCTTGGGGCATGGGCGTGGTATAGTATAACTATACGGGAACTATTCAGTGTTCTTCCGATCCCTAGTTGGATTACCAAGACTCCACATTTAAAAACAAGGGCTCCTATCCAAGAAAGCTCGTGTAAGCCAGCAACACCATGCTTTAGGGATCAGCGGAGTTAATTACTGGGGTTTAAGCAACATAACTATGCTTACAAAGCTTACAACTTCACCTGAGCTAGAGCTTTCTATAGCTGGCTAATTCTTATGTAACGAAGCCGACATCTCGATCGGAAACAGGTTGAGATATCGACAGACGCCAATTCAAACGAATAAACCGCATGGTCTCAGGACCGTACGGGGGAGCTCAGCGCCGACGGCGAGGCCTCCTGACATCAAGGCCATCTTGCCGTGCGATTGTAACTGATGTTTCAACCTCGACTGCCTAGCAGTGTCAAGGCACGTCCAGGCGAGCGCTCAACGGGTATGACCGCATCCTGCATTTTTCCAAGCCTGGTCTGCTTCTTGTTCCAGGCTCGCTCAAAAACCTCTCGCACGAAGCATGCCACCGAGTATCTGGTGAAGCTCAGCTTTTGCTCTCGTTGTAATGTCATGCCGCAGACGACCTGTCGACCTGCAATATATGAAATGGCTCACCACGGACGCTGCTAATTTGCTGATGTCAACCTGCCTAAAGCTTGATTCCAAAATCCGCCTCTGTGAGAGCAAAAGTTCCTCCGATGCATCCTCTTTGAACCACAGGGGCCGGCCCTGAAACTGAGCCCTCAAGCCCGGAATCTTGGGATAACTGCGAATCCCAGGTGTCTGAGATGTGTGGTGCATGGCTTTGGACTAGGACCTGGCTCTGAATTGCAAGGCCTCAGCTGTCTCAAGAGCGCTTTCACATCACGGGCACGCTGCGCAGGCCGCGCTTTGCCAGGTCCCAGAAGCAACCTGACGCAGCTTACGTGTATGCCGTGAACTGTCCGATTGGTCTAGCTATTGGGCAGCCTCCTGGCAAACTCACACTCCATAGCCAACAGAAGAGCAGAGCTCATCATGCAGGCGTTTTCGTATGCCCAGGCAATACTGGAAAGCTCCTCGAGGCGGCATGCTCAGTCATGCTGGCTGATGGACAATCGGATAAAACATGTCTTGATGCTACGCCGCTACGGTACAGCAGACCAACCTTAAGGCACAGAGGCATCCCCGGCACTGCCCGGTCCTGAAGACTGGGCCTTGAAATAGTTGCTTTCACCTGCTGTTCGCTCGCTGCGAACAGCGCAGGTGCTCGAATGCCTGTGAAGTAGGTCTCCAGGCAGTTGCAACAGAACTCGTACTGAGAATGCTGCTGATTCTTCCATCAAGGTCACGTGCGAAGTATGGGACTTATCGCTGACACTAGCAGTTGACTGTTTTCAGCGGCCTGGTTCCCGCCTGATGGGAGTCTCTAAGTGCTGTCAAGATCTGGGAGTGCCAGTGCAAGCATTGGAACTTACTTCCTTTTGCATGCTGTTGCGTTGTTAGACAACTCTGTTTTGCCATCATCGTGAACCTTATCGCACGGGTCTGCTGAACATAAACGGGGAACTCGGCCACCGAAGACTTTCAGGCCAGTTGCCGAGATGAGAATAGGCCCACAACATGTTGGCCAGGTCCTGTGTGAATGCGCTTCACGGCGGCAGGAAGACAACGGTCGTCAAGACTTGGGGCAGGTTCCGTCCTGGCTGTTGAACCGCTCGAGTTCTAGTAGGGCCCTGCTGCACAGAGAGTCGAACAGGGCAAGGTTTCGATGTCCCAACATCGCAAAGGACCTCAGGTTGGCCGTCTTCAAACCAGCTCATTGGGGCGCTCCTTCCAGAATCTGAGGCATGCGCCAAGCAAGATTCGATATGTCTCGCGGCGCATATGAACCTTCTGATGGCAGCCGACCAACCACACTTCACTCTGGCCGACATGCCTCTTGCCAAGATGCACATGCGGTCCAAAGCGGCAACGGCAATGGCATCGAATAATGCCGGGTTGATGGTGCCTTCGACAGACGCCGCAAACGGTGGAGAACCGCGCAGTGCCACGGCGAGGATCCGACTGAGTGCTGCACCTGTGCTTGCAAAGGCCCAAGCTAGCTGACCACTCCTCCGACACTCACGCATATGGCGACCAGCACGTGGAACATGGAAACAACAACGCGTGCACGCAGCCGATGCTGGCAGTGACCGGTACCCGAAGGCAAGCAGGAGTGCCGAGGAGCAAAAATCGAGGATCGAAGTCGGAAAGTCGATGGATGGAGGCTTCCGCCACAGCTGGAAGAACTGTGGCGCAGTGGCTCCCTAACCTGGCACTGCATGATCCCATGGACTCAAGAAAGTGGAACATGCTTCAGGCTTAAGCATTGTAAAGCTTCTGCCAGGGCACGATGCAAACGACCATGCGAAGCAACACAAGTCCTTCGGAATAGCAGAGTGGCACCTTGGTGCACGCTGGTCCAGCAGGTCACTAACTGACTTTGCCTCCAGAAGCGAAAGGAAACTGCGACCAAGGCCTCTGTTCTCCTGAAATTCTGTCTCTGACCGTCAAAACAGACCCAAGGACTTGGCTAACATCCTAGCATGTCCTTCGCATGAAGGAGTTCAGGGACTAAACCCTAGACGACTCCCACAGCTACTGCTGAACTATCCAGCTGCGGCACAGCTCCGTGCACCTGCCCAATTGACGGCAGGAGGCCATGTGATGATGGCAGACTGACAAGTACGCATCACCACTACTGCTATCACAGCCTGCCTTCTTGAAGCCAAGGGGAGGAATCGCCGAACCTGGCGACAGCTCTTCTCAAGTGCACTGTTGTCTCACCGAGAGCCTGCCTCGGAGCTCCCGAAGATGACGCAGCCTGAAGCCCTGCACCAGACCAGAGCTTGCATCAGGTTGGCCAGCTCCTCACAACTTCCGAAACTGCCGTCCAGGAATCCGAAAGCCAAAGCTCGCTGTGCCCCAAAAGGTCCTGCGCACCAAAAGCTGCAATCCTCCTTGCCGAGCCGAAGAGGTCAGTTGTGGACACCGCTGTGCAACACCGCTTTTGCACCGCAGCTGTGCAGCTGTAACGCAGCTGTTTGGCCCCGGGCCTGGCGGATTCAGCGGCCAAGGCCCGGAAGAGCCGCGGCTCGTCGGCGGCGTGGCCCAAAACTGAGAAGGAACGCTACGAAGGGCTACGAAGGCTGCGAAGACCCCGCGAATTGCAGCCGCCTGCAAACGAGTAGGCCACCTTGGCTATGCCCTGTGCGTTGAGGTCAACAAGGAGGCGATCTTGTACGTGCTGGGAGAGAACTCGAAAAAGCGCAGCATCTTCCACACCTAAGTAGCACATGATGACAGGAGCGAATGTGCGCACCTTTCGCATTGACACTTGCCCAAAGCACAGCCAAGAACAACCAGGTCACCAAGTCGTGCGAAAGAGAAGGCTATGACGCTCGCATCCACCGCTGACAAATCCTAAGCACTTCCCAGAATACTCCGCTGATGAAGTCTCTTACGAGGCAAGGCCGGCCAAGGCTCGTTGCATCTCTGCACTTCAGCACTCAAGCAGCGGAATAGCGACAGATCCTCGCGCCAACCAAATGCTGCCAGCGCCCAAACCAGTTTCCTTGTTCATCATTGGGAGCAGCCGCAACAGTCGGAATAAAGATGATATGTCGTCTGAGTTTCTGGACATCCCGGACACTCATCGCCTGCACAGGACAAGCTGCTCCCGAGCCCGACAAGGCAAAAGGCCTGCCTGTCCAACTGCCACTCGTCTGAGCACCTCCGATGAGACACCTGCAAAGATTTACCCGAAGCTCAGCTACCTCGATATCGTTCTAGACTCTAAAGGTACTTAAGCTTATCAAGAAACTCTTGTTGCAAGGTGCCCCGCAACAGCTTCTCGTTGCGGTGCTCCAGCTTCGCGAGAGCCCAGGTGCTGTTTGCCAGCTCTGTCAAACTTGCTGCCTCAGCCGTCTGTCCCACTCGTTCCCACTCTCGCCCACTGCGTCAAGTGAAGCTGGTTCATCGGGCGGTTCTCTTGGTTCATAGAACCAGTCCGTACTAATTCCCCGAGACTTCAAGGCTGCCCCGGCAATGCTGGCGGCCAGCTTGGAGAATGCAAGAGTCAGATTGCCAAAAACCCGGACCGGGGAAGGGAAAATCCTAACGTTGGAAATTCAACCTTACGATTCTCTGTTCCGGATTTGCATTTTTGGCCATGTACAAGTACGCGAGAGCGCGGTTTTGAGCCAAAATCAAAGGATGCTCCGCGCAAAAACACTATTTTCAAACACATTGGGAGGACGCTCCACGCAAGAGCACGTTCTTGGACCCAAACACGAACAGGATCAGCGTAACGTTTGTTTACACAAAGCACAAACATGAGACTACTTCGCGAAAGTGCCGCCCCTCTCAATTTTGAACCAAAACTTATGAAAAGGTAGGGAAGCTCAAATGACCTCCCCTGTGTCAGAAAGATCTTACACGAATAAGAACAGAAGAGTTTGTCTTGAAATGTCAGCCGAGGGCAAGTTTGGCAAATTGTCCAAGCCAATGACTCATAGTTCACAATGTTTTGGCTGTTTTGGACGTTGAACAGTGAATCAGAATTCGAGGTGACATCAACTTTCCAAGGTCCCACTCTGCCTGGCTGCTGGCGGGGCTAGGAGGCGAATGTCAGATGGCTCCCAAAAACAATAAAGGTAAAGTCGAAAAGCCCAGGCAGATATGATGAGCCTTTCGTTCGAAAAGCTGGAAATCCCGAAGAAAATAATCTCATTGAACATCCAAACAGCGGAATGGCTGCCGTTGGGCTCACAGTGTAAGGCATGAGAAAAGCTGACAGAGCTGCAGATGGGGTGTCGATGCCCGGCATGGAACACCAAATTTGCTGACACCACGCTGCCCGAATGCGTTTAGCGGGCCTCAGAACATCGAGTTGGGGTTGCGCGAAGTGCCGGGAGCTCAATGAGTGCAGCTTGTGTTTAGTTTTGTTGCTGAGTCAGCACGATAAGATAATGAACAACAATCCGGTGCCCGAACCCGCCGGACCCCGCCCGGAACGGTCCCGGACAAAAAATGCCGCACAACCCGCCACGGAACCCAACCTGGAACCTGCCCTGAACCTTGCCCCAATCTTCCCCAAATCTTATTTCGGCTGAAGACCCGAAAGCTCTCGCTGTTGGTGAAGAAGCCGGGTCGTGGCGTCAGAGAAGACGTGAAACGTACAAAGATCGATAAGTGTCGACAGTTCGGGTTTAGGGTTGAGTGTGAAAGGCTAGGGTTTCGGGTTTTAGGCGAAGATAAACTGCCCATGCCAAATTTAGAAGTTATGACTCTCGTTCTATTTCGCTCCAGCGTCTGGGGTTTAGCTTTGGGGCTTCGGAAATGACAAAATGTGTGCTTCTTATCTGGACCCTAAACCTGCCCCTAAACCCTAAACTGGCCTGAAGCTCGATACTCACAAATCGCTCTCTACAAGGCGAAACGACTTAGCAAGCCGAAAACCTCGCAGACTCCTGAAATATCACCTCCTGGAGCCTGATGTCGGAGCTGGCGTGCTTACGCAGCGCACAGTGAACGGCTTCTGCCTGAGAACCGCGCCGGAAGCTTCGTCAGTAATGCTGTAGCGCATTTCCACACCATCCGTCGCACCATGCCCCCATCCGCCTAATTCAGGGCAAAAGAGGCAAAGGAAACAGCTTGCCGTGCCAGAAGGAGCCAACTAGAAGTCCAAGTCAAAGTCGCCAGGTAGACCGCCGCCACGAGGGTGGCTCGCAAGGCTTCTGCATCCATCTCACCCCTTTCACCGAAGACGTCCTAAGATGCTCGCGGAAGATAGAACTACAACACAAATGCAGGGGAAAGAAACGCATCATGTGCCAGTGCATAGTTAGTAAACCAGGTTGCAATTGCTGCTATGAGGTTCTGGAAAGGCTCTGAAGCAGACCAGCTTTGGCGAGTCCGGTGTCCTGGAAAGCACTACTTCCGGTGCCTCCTCACTGCAAGTCTGCAATCACAAGCTGCTTGCGGTGCACTTTCCAGCTCTCAACGTCAACTTCTCAAACCGGGCCACTCATCCGTCCCAATCGGCTGAAGCAAGACACCGCATGGACGAAGCTGAACTCATGCACGTGGTCTTCCACGAATGCCTGCACACAGCGCTGTGCGTAGCTGGAGTTTGGCAAGGGTCCATTGAGACTCATCCCTTGGCTCGCTGTGCATCAAGCTGCCAGAATGTCTTCAGGCTGAGTCAGCCGTCCAATATCACGACTGAGCTGAAGCGCTTTGCCAGTCTGACGCCGGGAAGCCCTGGGAGAGGTTCAACTCCGAGTAAAGCCCGACTCAAAGGATCAAGAACAATCTTCCTGCCTTGCGAAGATGGTACGTCTGCCGGCGTGCATCTGCTTCACCATGACAACTACCTACGTCAGGTGCCCCAACCAACAGGAAACATCATCCGACTGAGTGCGGCAAAACGGAGGTAATAGCAGCCATGATGCTGATAAGCTCCAAACATGTCGTCCAGTGCCAGTGACACATGTCCTGAAGCCAATGCCAGACCAACCGAATCTACGAGAAGCTGAGCAAGCAAAGCCTGGGGACGTCCCAAGGCCGGGAGGGCCAAGGGCAAGGCCAACGGCTCGACCTTGGCTCAAAGGAGGGCAACAGGGCAACATGCAGGCGGTTTTGAAGCTTGCTCTCGCTCCGCTAGCCGCTAGCGACGCGGCAAGAAGGCTGGAAGACTGCCATCCAAGCTGAGAGCCATGGCTGCAGTCTCAGAAACCAAAACCAACATGTGATGACGTGTGGAGAGAAGGAGCAGCATCGACAGCCAGCAACAAAAGGAGCTCAAGTTTTGCATGCTGTCGATTAGGACATGCATTGGACTGCTTCGCCTGGCTTGCGGGTACACTGCTTTCGAGAAGCAGTGGTCGCATACTCTACATCCCAGTGTCGATGCACATCCTGGGTACTGTGATAAGCAGAAACCGCAACGAAGCTGAATGCTTGTCGAATCTCAACACAGCTACTTCGGCAGCACAATACCCAGTAGGCATGAACGGTATACACGTCATCACGTGCATACCCGGCATGCAGCAATGCAGCATGCAAATTACACCTGCCGCCCCCGCAGGGTGACGGCGCCTACACGGATCTGGAAAAGGAACGAAACTTGGCCATATCACTGGCCGAGCCTACCACACACTGCAAGTTCACCAGACCGTATCATACTTGCTAACAAAGACGTCTCCATGTAACTGTGTAACCTGTAGTAATATGCATGCATCTGTTGACAAAAACACATGTGTATGTACATAGTATACAGATACGCATATACATGTGACAACCCGTCCAACATTCTGCATGCAGCCGTATGTCAAACTGCAGCTAAACGAATTCTCGGAGGCAGAGGCTCCTCCGTTGTTTCGCAGCGAAACCAAGTGCGGGAAAACAAGAATAGCAGCTGTCTGCAGGGACTGACCCAAGGCTACAAGACTTGGGCCGGGTCGAGGGCATGCGAGACGATGTCCCCAGGTTCATTCGGCATTCAAGGCTATGACAGATGAAGAACTTCGACAAATGAAGTGCTCAGTCGTCGAAGCCAAATACATCAAAAGACATCGTGTCACCCTGACTCTGCACACACAGAGACATATCTGTACATACAGCTGTCAGCTGCACCCGCACGTCTTGCGGCCTTCGGCCCTTTTCAAACGCTGTCTCCCTTTGCTCCTGTACCTGGCTTGTCAACTAGGCGGCATACAGCACCATCCCTCATCGGTCCCGTCAAACGCAGGCCTCCAAGTATCAAGTGGCAGGCAAGACCTGGCACAGACTACGGATGAAAGTCTCGGGCAGCAAAAGTCAATATCTGTCAAGCTGCAGGCACCCTCTCCTCTAGGCTGCATGCTGCTTCTTTACCAGATGAAAGAGAGCGGCGATGCGGGCTGGGGACGCACGGCTTCAAGTGACACTATAGGGTCTGCAAGTTGGACTTTGGTACCGAGGAACACGTCCTTCCTTGCTTTGTCGCTGAAATGCCACCAACGTATGTTGTCCGCTGCTAACCGCTCTGCTTTCGCATTGGATCCTCGCAGCTTCAGGCGATTTGGCAAACAGCTTCTGACGCACAAGAGAGTGGCCACACCTGTTGGAACGAAAAGCCCCTACTTCGATTGGCTCACATGTGCAAATAGATCTTTTATAGCTTCGGATAGTTTGGAACTAGCCAGACACATGTGTGCCTGCTAACCAGACCCTGCCCCAGCCTCCCAAGCACTGTGCTCTTGCGAGCTCAAGCTGACCTGTTGTTCACCGCTTGCACCCAAATCTCAGAGCAGAGAACACGCCCACTCAGCATCCGGCTTTGTTCGGACTGCACGGGTCCACGCAGAGCCACAAACCACTGGATTGGTGCTGCAAGGAAGCACCTGATCCACGACCTCGTGCAGCGCGAGCGCCAGCAGGCACAGTTTGTGGGTGTAAAGCACACATCACAAAGCCTCATAAAATTTCGGCCACGCCGCTCCAGCGCTCACGTTTGCCAAAGCTGCGACTGGAGCAACAAAGCTCCACTTCTGTCCAGCGCCTTTCCGTCACACACTGCTGTGAAGAGGCTGCAGAGAACAGAACGGCAAACTCTCCCTGCATCTTGGCAGCTCCTTCGGGAGCCCAGAAAGCGGCCGCAGGACGGGACTCCCTGGACGGCCGAAACGATGTTAGCCCTCATGCTTTCTCTACACTACAAGTATGGGCATATGGAATACCGGCATATGTGCATCAAGGTGGAAAATGCAATGAATGTGCATGTAGGCAGAATCTGAGTTGGACGTATCTCCTGCCTCGTGTGCCAAGCCAAATTCCAGAGTCTCGCCTTCGAGCTCAGCCAGCCTTCCACGAGGGCGTTGATTTCACAGCGCTACGGTGGCCCTGAACCGGGACGCATCAAGGGTCAAGAGCCTTGACTTGGACAACTGCGAAGAAAATGACGAAACATCCGTCTCCTCCGAGACCTGTCACAGTCTGAGATGCAAAAAGCCGTGCCGATGTTTCCCACCTCCGTGCTGAAGGAGCCGCAGGCCTCCGAGAGGCCTCCCAGGGCAGTGAATCAAAGGCTGTTCGGACCGCCACGACTAGGCGCGAGAAAACGAGGCCAAGCACCTTTGCCGAGAAAGTAGCACACGAAAAGCGAGACGGGCAGCTCCTTACGTAGAGCAAGCAAGGGGAAAAGGATCGGGAAGCACCGCGTGTATAAGGTCCCAAGCACTCCTTCCGAATGTCTGCGAAGACGCTGCGTGCAAAGTCGCACGTAATACCGCAGGTGCTTCCTAACCCGCGGAACCCCTGCTCCTCGGTGGTTTGCCAATGAATGCCAAGGCACGGTCATCATGATGCAAGCATCAGTCGACGAGCTGATTATGGACAGGTACCTCCAGATCACATCTTCAGACCAATGCACGCCAAGCTGTTCTCAATCGAACCGCTAGAAGGCTTGGAAGGAAGCAAAGAGCAAAGACGAGGCTTCGGTCTCGATCTAGCAGAAAATGTCAAAATCACTCAGCATTGGGCCGAAAATCAACAGAATACTGAATACAGACGAAACTGAACGCTTCGTCAAATGGCCAGCTGTAGTGCTCGCTAGAACGAGCGTTCTGCGTACCGTACCATTGGCAACGAAGATCAACAGCACAAAACCCAAGCAGTTACATGATGGCCTTTGTGACTTCTTCTCGCGAAGGAAGACTCTGGCTTCATGCTCCAACCTGGCGTGATGCAGATGAGGCGTAACGGGCGAAATTACCAGCCAGGACGGGTTAAAGGCAACTTCGCAAGCCCCACACAGGCGCTGATAGATTCGCCTCACCTTGCGACACGGTGCGATTTGCCGTTCTTGCCGGGATGTGCTGTCCAGCCTGCAGTTGTCGCAGGGACACCCAACGCCTGGCCGGAAGGTCCAGAAGTCTGAAGCTCTGGTGCAAAACTGCTGCACAAATCTGTGCGACAAGATCTGAATATGTGGTTGGCATGCTATGTTCGATGCTGTCAGTCGGTTGGTACAGGCAAGAAGGGAAGGTGCGCAGCATCGGTCAACTTGAGCCTTGGCCCAAACCCGCTGGTAAAAACATCCCTCGGCACGAAGCTGCCCTTCTGCGTGAAGACAACCTCTCAACCTTAAGCCCTTCGTGGAGTCGTGTTGGCTTGCTGAGGTCTGCTCGGCCGCTGGTCTACAAGCCACGGCTCCATAAGCATCAAAAGATGTCGAAATGAAACGTATGTTGGGCTGGGCAAATTCTGCGAGCAACGCCGCCCCAAAGACCCGCCTTCAGTTCCTCGACCAGGAGCCCATCTGGCCCACCCAGAGCTTCCTGGGCTGGTCGGAACAGGCCCAAGGTGGCCACGGCTGACGCCTGGAGCCCCCTCCTGGGTCTCCGGGCTGAGCCTGCCAGGAGCTCCTGCCAGGAAGGCGACGCCTTGGCCAAAATGGCTCCCAGCTCCTCCAGCCGATTCAAGTGACACAGCCTTCCGAACACTTCCATCTAATTCTCCATCTATCTATCTATCGTCTATCTATCTATCTATATACATACATATACATATATATGTAGTCGATAGAGTGGGAGGAAGGTGTCGCTCCTGCACCCGCCGCAACGCCCCTCGCCGGATCTCCGCAATGCGTGTTAGGAAGGCCACAACGACGGCCTGCTTCTCCGCAGGCACCTGCCTCAAAGACACAGGAGCTTGGACTTGTGACGAACTGTGCTCACCTTTTCGAAAAATTGGCCGAACTTCAGCTTCTTCGGCTTGCCTCAAGGCCTCTCCTCCGCCGGGCGTGCGGCCCCAGCAGTGGCGACACCCCTTCCGCAGAAGAGCAAACGCTGCCTTCGAACGCACAAGCACTTTGACGAACGAATCACTGAAACACGACGACGCCTCGTTTTCGTTCGTGAAACGAACCTCCCCGGACATAGCATTGCAAACGGCTTCGATGCCCGCATGCAGTGCCTCGGGATGATGCACGAGAATCGGGACTTGTGCATAGAAAGTCAATGAAACAGGGAGCTAGAGATGAGAGCGAGACATGGAGAGAGGGAGAGAGAGAGAGAGAGAGCGAGAGCGAGCGAGAGCGAGAGAGAGAGAGAGAGAGAGAGAGAGAGCGAGAGAGAGAGAGAGAGAGAGAGAGAGAGAGAGAGAGAGAGAGAGAGAGAGAGAGAGAGAGAGAGAGAGAGAGAGAGAGAGAGAGAGAGAGAGAGAGAGAGAGAGAGAAGAGGAGAGAGAGAGAGAGAGAGAGAGAGAGAGAGAGAGGGAGGGAGAGGGAGGGAGGGAGGGAGGGAGGGCGGGAGGGAGGGAGAGGGAGGAGGAAGGGAGGAAGGGAGGAAGGGAGGGAGGGAGAGAGGGGACGGAACAGGAGGTGAGCCGTTCCGCAGCCTTCTCTGCCAGGTCGTTGCCATCGGCAGGACCACTGCACCCGGCCTCAGAGCTCTAACAGTTCCTTGACCTGAAGGCCCGAGCCATGCGCTGGACTCCTCCCGGTAAGGCGTTGCTCTGGCAGAGCTGCGAAAGTAGAACGCTCGAAAAAACAAGCCCAAAGACCGCCGAAGAAGTACTTGCGTTAGTCTAAAATCACGAATAGGACTAGGATGCCGGCAGCAGCTCCTCCTCGAGTAGAGTTCGCCATCTACCTCAGACTTTTCAAGGAATCTGGATAAAGACAGGGTGGTTCGGAGCATCGTGTAGCGTATCTTACATTTGCAAGATTTCCAGACG